GCAGTGGCTTTATGTTAGAATTTGATTTATGTGCAATGGATGTAGGCGTCTATAACAGCATCTTGGCCTCCCCCTTGTCGAGGGCAGCCAGAATGCTATATAAGTTGGTAGACGTAAGTATAAAGCGTCGCGCTTAAATTTTTTGTGTAAACTTTGAGGGTGACGTCTCGAAATCGAGAAAACCCTCTTTATAAAAAAATAAATAAATAAAGAGAAAAAAAAAAAAAAAAATGTAAGATTTTTATTATACACTTACATATATGTAATATACATCCATAACCCGGGAAAAGATATTTATATTTATCATACAAATATCTTCCCTTGGCGGGATTCGAACCCGCGACCCCCTTGTGTAGTGACCATGTCACTTACCACTACACCAAACGGCCGTGATGGATTAATGTCAAGCACACAACTCGATCGAACGGCTTGGTCGATACACACATACGTTTACGCTTAAGTTTAATTTCACTATTTTAGAATTAAACAAATAGCAGGGATTAATTTATGCGGTCTATCAATTATTTATGACTATTAACCCATTGCGGTCCTAAGAATAATGTAATGTAAGACTATAATATTTCCAATACGTGTAAACTCTGGACCTTAAAGGATTAAGTAAATTCGTTACGCCCTGCTGTTTCTGGCATGGTAAAGCGACACTTAATAAATTAATAAATTGTTTGTTTTTAGGGCGTGGTCTAGTATAGTATACAAATTAATACCTAATGTCAAAGCATTGGAGTCGTCATTGAAACAATTCGCCGCGATCGTTGATGCAGATGAGGTTAGTGGATATTTTCAATAAAAAAAAAAACAATTTAAGAACAGGAATATACAGGCAACCTGAAGGAGCACCAGCTCCTTTTTCAGGCTATAATTGCTTGTAAACCATAATCTTCTATTCACTGGTTATAATACTAAAATTTTCCCACCTAGTCATTGGTAGCCTAAGGGGCTTTTCCAACTACGCGTGGACTGATAAGTGAGCTTCCGGGGCTCAACCTTGGAATACCTGCTAACACTAGCCCTAGCCAGAGCAGTGATTCGCTGAATCTACCACCGGATCCAAATCGTGACCCACTGAGAAGATCCGACGAGACGCTCACTGAGTTCTGTCTTTGGGCGAGCTTGTTGATATCGACAACAAACTTCACCGAAATGTACGAAATCGCAACAATAAAGTCACCAGTCACGAAGCGACTAAGTCTTAGAGTAGGTCTAAATCATGATTGTCAAGTAAAACGGTTGGCTTTACACTGTTCAAACCGGAACTCCTGTCTACTTCGCGTCACAAATAGGCAGAATGATAATGATACCTTCGCGTTTATTACGTGTTTCAGAAAACCATTGCTAATAAAAAAAAACAAAAATAATTTATCATTACACATAATGGCACATCTCATATAAGTGAACCAAATAAAATGTATATTACATTATCAATACTATGTATATTGTCAAAGAATTCATTTTTGAAGTAAAGCACCTGATTACCCTTGAAGCGGAGCGACTAACCTAAAACTTTTATTCTTCTTATTAACTGCTATTTCCCACTTAGGTGGGTTGGTGTCTTCTGATTCGTTTGCGTTCGGAATTTCTATCCTGAGTTGTCCACACTGGGTCAATTTGGACCCCTTCTAAGTTTAACTTAAAATTTTGACAGAATAAAAAAAAAAATGAATTTCAGGTATTGTTATTCGAGAGGGCAACGTTCTTGGTCGTGTCGCACTGCCAACGCCGGCAACACCGGGACGCGCATCGCTTCGAGAAAGTCTCGAATATCGTGAAACAGTTCAAACTGTCTTGTTCGAAGCTTGCTGCGCAGTTTCAGAGCATGGAGGTGGGTTTTTGATTGTCTTTGAAGGGCTGGATCGTGTGACGTGAAGTGAGCAATAAACGCGAAATAGCCAAACAAACCAATAATAATAATAGTTGTACAGTAAGGAACGAAATAAGTCTGAAGACTTACCGGTTCGCCTTCCTTCCACTGCCTCGCGCTCCCTGGGCTCAGCGTCGTTTCCGGAGGTGGGACCGTCTGTCCCTTGACTGGTACACGATGAACAATTGTCGCTGGTTCTAATGGTTACGCGTGACTTGCGTTGGATAATTTTTGTTGTTTGTAATAAAGAATGTCTGCCGCGGAACGCGTGTGTTAAGTTACTATACGACGGCGACCTCTGCCCGTAGGCTTGGAGGGGTTGCTCAGCAAGCTTCTGGTTGGCTAGCCGGCCGACTACAGGCAAGATCGAACCTTACTGCACCTAGGTTAAGATTTGTGTTGTCTTGAAGATGTATTGCCTAATACTCGATATTAATAAAAATATAGAAACACGAAAATCTGTTTCAGTACGAAACAATAGTATTAACCAGAAATAAGTCACACGCAGTCATGTAGACCCAAACTAGGATTCCCTTTACTATGAAAATCAGAGACGTTTAAATACATAGACATATAGATAATAAATACCCACAGAAAGAGCGTACAAACATCACACGAATGTTGGCCAGATCTCAAAATCGAACCCACAACCCTCAGCCCAACAATCAGCGGCACTAATTACTGCACGACCATCCCTTTTTGTTATAAACAAATTAATTTTAGTTCAAAATGAATCCTTAATCATTCAGGTACGCAACAGCGTGTTCGCAGCCTTCATTGACGGATTCACGAGCAACACTTATGTCATGGTCGAGATGTCCGATCCGAAGATACCTTCGGAAGCGACCCTCATCAACATCAGGAACGCGCGCAAGCATTTCGAGAAACTAGAGAAGGTCTCGTCTTCCGCTCCCAGTCAGTACCAGTGAAACGAAAAAAAACTCGCACGGTGGTCACTCAGTGCAAGAAAACTACGTACGTGCTAAAAAATACGTCTCCTTAGCTTGTATAAAAACTTTTAACGTAAAACCCTTTTTACTGGCGAATATGAAAAAGGATATCCCCCTTAATCAACACAAAAATGATTCACCATGGTCATCTGTTCAGTTTTCGCGACAAGTTAAACTTATTATAATATATTGCATAATTGCATCGTGTTCACAAGCCACACGGTGTTAAGTTAACAAAACTAGACAGAATTATCCAATATTTAATATAACGCACTTCTTTGGCGTTTTCTAAAACGCGAATAATTAATGTGGCTAGAAAACCCACATTCTACATTGTCCAATAAAGTTGAAATTATACGTTCGTAACTTTACAAATTAAATACTTTATTAATCAAAAGGTTCTTAAAGCATAATAATATGATAAAGATTTCGTAGTTGTCACAGGCTGACTAGATTCGGAAACCATTAAAATTAATACAGGGTCATAAATAAAGTCAAAATTAAAAATCCAAGTAAAATTCAATTTATTGATGAAAGACTTTGTATTTAAACAGTTCGCACATTGTTGTCATTCCTTAATTTGACACCGTGAACAAACTCGTCAATCTGTATTGAAAAAAACTGTCAAGTTTCGCGCCATTTTCATTATTACGTCTAATTCTATCTCTACGTCTATTGGTATTATTAATTAACTAGTATAAAGCTCGGTTGCAGCTTGCATTATGCACAACGGGACATACAATGACAAGACATTCTGCATATATTTTGTTCTAGATCACGCATACTGTAGTGAATTTGCGCGGTCGAAGGTCATTCACCTCAACTATGAAAGCATTTACAATGGGGATTAGGCCACAACTCACGCGAGAAAACGGGTGCCGTGGGCCGATTTTTCCGAAACCGAGTTCTGTGAATGTTTTTGATTGTTTGCAAATGCCTAGTTTTTTCTCAAAATAACTGTGTTTTCTACGTATTTAAATCTTGAATAAAAATGTGTACAGTGCTTTTATGTTTAAGTAATTATAATCAAATATTATATTTATAATTCTTTTTCCAAAACATTCTAGTTAAATTGCTTTGTAAACTGTAAGTGTTTCGTGTTTTAATGTGATATAGTATATGAGGTTAAGCACAAAATAAGTTATTGAGCGTTTACCTTGATATATTATTAAAATATAAAGTTTCGAGTGCTAAGCACAAAACAATAATAATTCTTGCCAAAGCAAGCTGTAAATAACCTATAACCAATTGTATATATTTAAAACAAAAAGAATTTAGTGCCTCATATTTAGGGCTTAGAATATTAGTAAAAAATTAATATAAGTAATTGTAAAATTGTTTTTACGCCAATGCTAAATTTATTGCATATTTTGAGTACCTACTATTACTTTCAAATTATCATAAGATTATTTCGCGACGTCGTCCATCACTAATTACAAGCAATTTTGGGATAGGATATAAATATTTGAATTGAATGATTAATTTCAAGGTTAAATACAAATTTAGTGAATCTGACTAGTAACTAGTAATTTTCTTATTTATTAAGAAATAATTTTAGTCCTATTTTAGTACATTGCAAATAAATTAACAAAACTAACCCATTCACATATCAGCATTATGATTTATAACCTGTTTTATAATATGTAAAAATCGCGATATTGTACAGACAATATGTCTCTATTCCAGAATAATTATAAGTAAATAAAAATAGTTTAATATTTTATTATTATAATGGTAATATTGTATATCTCGTTTAAACTCCTAACAAAGACTACACTAATTTAATGAGTGCCTACTGGTAGTATTAGCAAAGCTCCCGAAAACGAATACAGTTGCAGCAAATTCCTACTAAAATTTAAATAAAAAAATTATAACCGTTTTTGCATCGCACGCAATGGAACTCAATTAGAAGTCGGCTGATGCGGGGTCAGTGAACTCCTGTGACATTACTAAAACAATCTGAATGGAAGTAATAATTTTCTTTACTACTTTATTGTCGTTTCGGCATCGGGAATGGTCACTTTACACCATGTATGTGTATTCTATTTTTCAATAATAAAAATACTTTTTGTATTTGATGTTTACATTCTTCACTTACCTTATCCTGCATCCTGCTTATTTCATACTTTTGTAATATGTGATGAAACTCAGATTTATTTTTCTTCGTGGATATTCAGATTTTATTTTTATTTAGTAAAGCATTGATTATGAACAGACAGGCTTACTGTTACAGCGCTGTCAATTATTCATTTCTTATTTGCTATCTGTTGCACATCTTACGCACGAAAAAGTGATGCCTTCGCTCATATCAAATTATGTAAAATCTATACTAATATATAAATCTACAGTGGTTTTTACGGATGTTCCGATATAACTACTGAACCATGCATCCGATTGACTTGAAACTTGGTATTTATTTAAAAAATACATGTACTTAATGGATAGGCTAATATTTATATGAGTGTTGGACTCTTTAATAATAATGACGATAAATAATAATGTTAATTTTAAATGCCTAGCGAAGCGGGCGAGTACGGCTAGTTATGTATAAAATCATTTTGCAAACCGTCAGCAATCTTGCACTCGAAACTTGAAGTATACATTTCATTTCTCGAAGCATATCATTTCAGATAATAATATGAATAATGAGACATACTACGCCGATAGAAGACTGTTGTTAAAATTTTCATGGTGGCGTGTGGTGTTAGGCTATGTTTCGGTTCGGCTGAAACACCTTAGTTTAAGCATGACGAGATCCCTGGCTAAAATTGCCCATACCCTCAACCATTTTCCACGCTTGTCCATGTCTCTGCTCGCGTCAGTGGTAAAATTCCCTACTGCTGCATTATAGTTTTGAAGGCGCTTTGGAACTGCCCCGTTCGACTCGTTTTTTGAATGGCCATCAATGACATATTGACATATGACATATTGACATGACATACATGATAATTATCTAAAGAACCGTTTGCTACCTAGCCCGTGTTCTTCGACCATGTCGAGTATAGCAATGGACAGCCGTTCCTTCTTTAACGACAGCTTCGTCGTCTCTTAGCATTATTATCGTACATAATGTTATTATAAGAAGCAAGCGTTTTCGCTGGTGGTAGGACCTCTGGTGACTCCGCGCGGGTAGGTACCACCACCCTGCCTATTTCTGCCGTGGAGCAGTAATGCGTTTCGGTCTGAAGCGTAGGGCAGCCGTTGTAACTATACTGAGATCTTAGAACTTATATCTCAAGGTGGATGACGCATTTACGTTGTAGATGTCTATGGGCTCCAGTAACCACTTAACACCAGGTGGGCGTGAACTCGTCCACCCATCTAAGCAATAAAAAAAAAATTAAAAAAAAGCCTTTAGAACAAACACACTGCTCTGTGCTACTACTTACTTAAAATTTACACCTAACTAATTTGTCTCGTTTTATGGTCTATGAGTGCCGGAGACGTACAAATAAGAGAATTACACCCTGATTAATAGAAGACCAAGTATGATCACTAACCATAAGACTAATAAAGCGAAAGTTTAAAAAATTGATATTTAAATAGCATAAAGAAAAGTCGCTGTCTATTTCTCCGGTTAGGTCGTCTAAACGTAACGGTTTTGATATTTAGTTTTCATTGATAAACTATGGCTGGGTTATGTCAAGAAAACTGTTATAATATACTTAATTAACTAGAGCAGGTCAAAAAATGTAGTCCACGCGGGCGAAGCTACGAGTGAAAAGCTAGTAAATTTTTTTTTTTAAAAACTTAAATACTGATTGACATAGATACGTATTTATTTTACTATTAACATACTTATTTTACTATTTGCTTTATTTACTATTAACTTTGCATATAAAAACGTCGGAGCCTTACTAAAAACACGGGAGTAAACGCGGCTAAATCCAAGAAGACGAATTCTGCCGAGTATACTTTTGAATAAAATTTTATTTATTATTATTGCCGTCCTAAATGTTGGTCCAGTTCAAATGACTAACACGAATGCCAAACGACTTTGCATAAAAGTCTTTCTGAACCTGTTTCCTGTCAGACCCCACCAACGGACCTAAAAAAAAGGCTTTGCAACAGTGTTTGGGTTGTGTAGTGCACAATACCAAAACCCCGCATTGAAGTGAGGAAAGTCGAGAGCGAGACACGTCTACGAGTCAACAGTGTATTGCTGATATTACGAATATTGGATATAGATTGTGAAATCTGTTATCGTGTTGCCGATCGGTGTTTCATTCAGTACCGTGTGCTTTTCCACTGAAGGGAGACTGCTATTACCAAGGCACGATAAGACAAGGTATTTAATAATTACATACGTTTAAATTATTCACATAAACAGTGTTTTGTTTTTTTATTATTACCGATAATAAACGACATAGGTTATATTAAAAGGTAACGTTTAAAGTTTTGGTAATCGTTTAAGATAAGCCCGCCTTTTTTTACTATCTCATTCAGCCGTTAGGTACTTACCGATGCTCTTAGACATATTGTATTTAATTTATGGTCCATAAATACCACACTATATCGAAGACCAAAGTTTCAGTGACTTGAAACAGAATCCTTCGCACGAGAATGAATTAGGCCGGGCGGGTGTTTTCGACATGTGTGGGCTTAAGATGCCTTTATACTAACACAATAGTTATCATACTGCTTTTAAAAACAACGTAAATTCGTGATTTAATTACGATAATAAAGAGGGCACAATAAATTATATTTCTTTTATAGTCTTAATGTTGAATTTGTAGAGTTAGACATTAGAAGCAAAGTCATAGGGATACGCGCAGGTATGGAATATCCAAAGTTTAAACTTTACAATTTCTAGTTGATTCCAACAAAAAATCTATCGTATTATTAGGAAAAAATCTCAATAAAATTGTTACAAACATGTAAAACAAAATCTACACTAAATAATTTAACAAAATTGTTTCTTACAAAATGTAGGTATATCCTTAAACAAAATCTATTCTTGAGAAATGTTTTAATTGCACAACTCAGTGACGTATCAAGGAAAACGCCAGCCGCTACGAATCTCGATTTTGTATTTCCCCGCCGTTATTCCGTGATGATGCATCGTAACAATTAGGTATAAATAAACTTAAGTATATAGATGGAACGGTTAATGCATATGTTTTGCAACCCGCATGCATTTGTTCAACAACTCTACTCAGTGTGCATTTGTGAAGTGTAGTAGTAGCACTTGGTGTAAATTATTAATACGTAGGTAATTTAGGAGCGTATCAACCCATAACATACCATGTAAGTACACTAAATAACTCCCCAGCTTATTATGTACGATGAATAGGAAGATTCACGATAAAAAGATATATCAAATAATCACTTCGAAAAGTAGTGTAACCTTGATTTATATCAATACAATCTTGTGACCTTGACAAAGATGAAAATCACAACGATACGGTCAATTGTTACCTCATTCTTTCATCTAACGCTTTCAACTACTACAAGTTTAGTATTGTCTTAGATTTTCTTGACTTGCAGAAATAATTAAAACAACTTTTACATTTTAATCTCTCGTTTATAATGTCATTAAATTATTTCCAACGTTTCAAATCATTTCGTTTCGTAGTCACGGACGTCATCCTTAAACTACACATTTGTTAAGCATTATGAAAACGGTAACTAAATTAAATTAGGACAAACTTTTTTTGTATTTAAACATAAATTGTGTTAGGGATTGACATGACCGACGTGTTTTTAGTTTAGAAATTTATGATAAAAACTAGGTAGGTACAACCCAGACACAACCACATCAGATTAATTCAGATTGTAAACATAATTTTACATTTACAGAAAAATGTCACAAGAGAAACCGATTTTCGATTATCATGAAGAATCGCAAACGGAGAAATTAGCTCGTAAATCGAAGGAATCTCCATTTATGGTGATTGGTATGTTTATCCATTATCATTGTACTACAGATTATTGTCGTATTCATAATGACTATATTTGTTTTATCAGTCTTGTAGATTCGATAAAACTAAAGAACAAACAGGTACATATTTAGATCCTGCAGTCCAAAAAGAAGATTTAAAATGTATATCAGTTACTTTAGATTAATTGCTGATACTTTTTATTTCTTTCGATACATAGACAGCCAACCAGGTAATAAGTGGTTTCTAGACACATCACATCGTTGGTGTTGCCATATTAATCTTACCATAAGACCACTGAAGCTAAATTATTTCTTAAGCTGTCTGTTTTTATATATTTTTTTATTTTATTTTATTGCATAAAGAGACGAACGAAATTGCAGACTAAATATTGTTATAGACTTAGTTACCGGACCCCGTGGATATCACGATGTGAATGTCACGTCACAACTTTAGACATGAACTCTTCAAAACTGAAAGCGGTACTGCTTCGCGGGAGATATCGACAGGATGGGGGAATCTACCCGTGCAGGCTTAGAATACGCCCTAGTTGTAATTACTAGCCGTCCGAGCGTAGCTGGAATACCACCTAGCCTAGACCTACGAAGAAAATAGACATAAGCGCATTACTGGTGGTAGGACCTCTTGTGAGTCCGCGCGGATGGGTACCGCCACCCTGCCTATTTCTGCCGTGAACCAGTAATGCGTTTCGGTTTGAAGGGTGGGGCAGCCGTTGTAACTATACTTGAGACCTTAGAACTTGTATCTCAAGGTGGGTGGCGCATTTACGTTGTTGATGTCTATGGGCTCCAGTAACCACTTACCACCAGGTGGGCTGTGAGCTCGTCCACACATCTAAGCAATAAAATAAAAAAAAGCGCATCGCTTGATACTAGTATTTACATACACCGGACGCCTTATCCTTTAGCCCACGGTCTTTACAGGTATCTGTCTCTTTCCAGGTATCACTGGCCTCGTCGCAGCCGTGGGCTACGGAGCTTACGCCTACAAACGTCGCGGCGCTATGAGTACCAGCGTTTTCCTAATGCAATTCAGAGTGATCGCTCAAGGGACTGTAGTCGGTGCACTTACTGCGGGCATGATGTACACTCTCTACAAAAACCACTTCAACAAGCTCAAAGGAAATGAGCACTAACGCGGAGAAAATTGATTTAAGCTAATTTTAACGAAGTGCCGTACAGCGGGTTTTGCCGTACCTACATCATAAAAAAATGTGTTAGGTATGAGGAAAGCGTCGTTGTCTTGACGGAAGATTACACAATAATTTATAAAGCGTCTGTGTAGTTTTAAGCATTTTCATAGAACTGGTGAGATATTCAATACGAATATTCGTTCTTTATAATTAAGTCATTGTTTTATCTAAACCAACTGATTTAAATCAAATTTAAATCTGACCAACACCTATCAAGGCTGCCGCCAACGAAAAACACGAAATAGATAACCGAAAATATATTACGCGATTTATTAGAAACTAAATGGTTGCTTGTATTGTTCAAAAACCTAATTTGGGTGTTGAATGTATTCTCGGGAACTATTATTACATATAGACATTACCTACGTTTTTTTTTTATGAAGGATTACTGACGTCCTTGTATGTATCCAGTAATGTAAATCTTAATGTTGACCAAAAAACGGGTACACAATGACATAAATGTGTCATAATAGTGTAGGTATCATAAAATTAGTAATAAATCATTGAAAAGTATTAAAAAGTAACATGATAGTTCCTAAGTCTCCTTAAAAAGTCTCCGAGATGTTCCTCTGTAATGTCGACTATCTCCCCACCTCCTTTACTTTTCATAGATAGAACGAAATTTTCTGAAGAACTTTGACAGATATTATTTATACGAATTCCAGCCAATTTTATAGTTTGAGAGTTCGGGATATTTTCGTATTTCGGATGTTATAGATAGAGTAGCTGTCTACTTTGAATTATAAACGAGAAATTCATTCCAATTACGGAACTCTTGACTGTGCGTAATATAACACGTAAATGCCATGACTTTTTTGTAATGTCATTGCAAGATTACTTATCGTCTGTGATAAGAAGTGTTTGTTACATTACTAACGTAGCAATAAGAATATTTTAAGCAACATAAAGTTTAAAATATTTAAAATTAGTAATAGTAATTTAATTTTTTTATTTATATAATCTCTTGAATTATTATCTCTATAATAAATGAAAATACAATTGTTTTTTACATAGTACATATGTATGTACTAATTGCCTTTATTTCATAAAATAAATAAACATACTTTTAAACAGACAAATTTGCAAGCAGGTGCTTAGTTTATTATATAGTTCATCAAAACTGGTTACTATTGCAAAGGCTTCAATGCGTATTTATTACAACAGCACAGCAAATATAACTAACAGTATTTTAGTAGTATGTACTTTAGTAATTTAATCTACTAAAATATAATTGGATATAATTTAAATAATTTAAACTTTACTAATTTCTGTGTATAAAACTTCACTGAAATCAGAATAAGCCTAAATAAAGAAGAAAACTCTACAGTGAAATTTAATTAAATTTTCAATCAAACAATATGATTTCCCATCATTCCGATCATGCTCTTTGCTTCTAGGCAACAATCATATTTGATAGATATGTTTTATTTTTTTCCACATTTCTTTTAATTGCAAAATTCTTTTCTTTCACATAGAAATCCTCATTTTAATACTGATTCTTCCATAACAAGAGTTTTTATTTCAACTCGTATCTCACGATTATCACTTATTTAATCAATTATCGGGAACCTTCTGATCGGCAGCAGTGAACCAAAGAGGACATGTTGAATTACAGGGAATTTTGCTAATACTTCTTTCTTATACATTTTAATAAGACCTTGATTAATTTTCATCCAAGAACCAACTGCACTAATGCTCCACAACTGATTTGAGTGTTCTGCAAAGGGTCCTTTTTTCACTTCTTTTATATATTTGATGCATGACAAAAACATGTATTCATTGGCATATTTATCAACTATTTCATCATCTAGGAATTTAGCTGGAGGGTAAATTTTGGGTTGATCTATCAACTGTGAACTACCCCAAATAAATGGTATAAACTGATAGTCGTCCAGGCTCCAAACACCATGACTTCCAGCTGGCTCCATTCGGTATGTTTTCTGCAATCTCCTAGCGATGTTCAAATATTTATTAAAAATTATAAGAACAGTTGCCACATTATCTTCTAGCTGTAAAAAACCAATTTTATACAAACAACATAAGAACATGACAAATGCCATCTCGTGGCCTGTACCATAGTCAATTCTTGTAGCATTCCCAAAGCTTTCCTGTAAGTAAACTTTTATTTCAGGTATCGCCAAATGTAGTTCTGGCTGTAATGCTTCTTGAAGTAACTGTGTGGAATTAGTCTTTACATTTTCAAACCATTCTCTGAATGCAGCATTACCAAATCTTTGAGGTTGTTCCACTGGAGGGAACTCATCAATTATTCTATCAATTTTATCCAACATGTTTATAATTTTTTTAACATTATCTGATACTTTGCAATCAACTGTTAATGGTTTTCCTTTTATAGACTCATTCAGTGTAGCAACAAATCCGGTATATTCCATGTACGCCTCAGACTTTTCCCAAATGGTCATATCTGTAATGGATTTAACAGCTTTTTGTGGCTCAACAAAGCGATGGTCTGGAGGAAGAGTGTGGATGTTTTCACTCTTTTTCACATCTCCAATAGTATTTGCAGTGTTGGACTGAAATTTTACATAAAATATTAGTAATAAATATGATACGCAAATGTAAAACTTAACAGTTTTCAGTTCCTCATGTTTGTAAAAAGATTACAACTAAGAATCGCTACTCTTTTATAGTTAACATAATTATTAGTTTAGATAATTTATGCAGAAATTATGACAAAAAATTCATTCATTTCAGCAATGTACATTGACCTACTATACCTACCACCTCCGTCACAAATGACGCGTCAGCCGGGTACGATAAGCTAATGAATTAAATAGAAGGTCAGATATGTCATGCGACTGTTGAACGCATGTACAGTTCGATTTTTCTATTTATAAATTCTAACATGGAACAATCATAATATATGGTTGTGACAAGAAACGAATATGGAGAAGATTTTAAGAGGTATTATGCGATACCGCGTTTTAGACCGAGCTAGCATGGTTAAGCAGTTTCAAGAAGTAAAAGACAATCCAACGGTAAGTGAAGTATTGCTTACCATGATTGTGATGTTTTTTAAATCTATTTATCGCCACTAAAGACAAGCTTGTAATATTAGTGTTGTGTTAGAGTATTCCTATGTGAAGGTAACACATTCACAAATTTATTTACAAAACATAAATGTCCATTACTTGTGTCCAGTCAAAAGACATTCTCATGTTTTTGACATTGACATTGACACTAATTGACAATTTATCTTCTGATTGACTATTGACTGTTTTCCAATTACAGCACAAGAGCGCAGCAATATGCGGCATAATGCTCAACTAAGCTTACTTTAATTGGAAATAATTACAGAGCATAATGCGACTCAGTGACGCACAATGCCGAATTATGCTGAAGCTTAGTTATTAGCATTATGCCGCATAATACGCTCTTGTGCTGTAATTGGAAAACGGCCTTATTGAGCTGTCGCAGTAAAATCTTTCAGTTCGGTTACACAAGACCTCTAGTCGCACAATGTAACCTAACCAACGTTTTACATTTTTAGGATTCTCTTATTATGTGGCTAAAACGGAACGCTTTGAAAATACTTTTTTATTGTTTAGGCGGATCGACGATCTCACTTCCCAACTTGTGTTAAGTGTTTTTTTTTTATTGCTTTTGTAGGCAGACGAGCATACGGCCCACCTGATGGTAAGTGGTCACCGTCGCTCATGGACGTCAGCAATGCCAGGGGCAGAGCCAAGCCGCTGCCTACCATGTTTACCGATGCTCATAGACGTCAACAACCTAAATACCGCCACCCATCTTCAAACGTGATTAAAACATGTCAAGTCTCAGTTTTTTATAGTACAACGGTTGCCCCATATTTTAAACCCAAACCGAAGAACAAATATCATACTTTCGTAGCTCTTTCTACGTCTTGCACTAACTCCTATTTTAGATAATGTTAGTAGGAATGGTGAAGTACTGGATACAATGTCGCTTAAAGTTGCCACTACCGCCGCCCAGCCTGTCACAAGCTGAATGCCTGTATTGATATTCTGTTTAATAACTTTAACATAAATGAGCCGCGAATTCGTTTGTGTATGTGTACTAATAAATATGTACTAATAAATAATTTGTTATTGACTAAAATTATTTATTATTTGTTTAGCCCAAAGCAGTATTCTACACATGCATGGACAGCAGAATGATTCCTACTAGATTTACTGAAACCAGTGTTGGTGATATGTTTGTTGGTTTGTAATCATGAATCTCAACTATATGGATAATATATTTTTAAATACATTAGACTATCGTTAGACATTTAGGTAATTAAAAGAACAGTTTTTTTTTTCTATAGTGAGAAACGCGGGCAATGTCATACCACACTCTCAACATTTCGTTGACGAGATGACCAGTTGTGAACCAGCTGCACTGGAATTAGGTTGCATAATTAATAACATACGTCATATAATAGTCTGCGGCCATAGTGACTGCAAAGCAATGAACCTTCTCTATCAGCTCAGAAGTGAAGAAGCCTCCGATAAAGTAAGTTTTCAAAAGTCACAAAAACCGTAATTTACTAATTTAAAAACTGATATCCAAAATAATGTAAAAAAGCCAGTTAAACGCTACTATGGTGTTACTTATTAGACATTAGACTTATATTAAGCATAAATTTTACATGCGTTCGGTATAGCTAAGTCCGCATATCCGGTCCGGTATAGCTAAGTCCGCACCATTGTGTAAGCTTACACAGTGGTGCGGACTTGTACTATTCACCAGGATTTAACACGGCTTGAATTTGGAGTCTATACAATGTGACTTCGCCTTTGCTGGATTAGAGATTGCAAGACCACCTGTTAAGTCGATACCAAAGGCCGTAGATATTACAATGTAAATGTTACCACCCATCTTGAAGTATGAAATCGGAGTATCAATTGTATATCGACAGCTTATAGCGGAACTGATGAATGACTTACGACATAAATATCTAAACGGTGTTTGGAATGTACTCGTGCCAGCTCACCATGCACTCTAATTACATTTATTAATTGCGAATGTTAAAAAAAAATGACGCGGTTCATTTTTATATACCTTCATTGAGGAAATCGTCCGAGGATGTGTCGAAATCATATTTCATGGAAAAAATTGTACTCCCCGCGATATAAACCTAAGTAAAATAGCGTGGCACAACACGATATATTACCCGGTACCATGTCTTACATAATATTATGTAAACCGCTAGGCGCGGAAACCTCGAAGGAGGCTGGGCACTAGTCCGAAAAAAAGCCACGGAAATTAAAATTATTAAAACGAGATAATATAACAACCAAAGCTTCCGCACCGCCACTAACAAAAAAAATAATAATAATACTATAATATAATTTGGTAATGTGAAGTGTCTGCACCGCTTATCTGCTTTAAAAACGCCCTCGTGAAGACTTTCATATAAATGAAGGAAGAGTGATAGAGAACCGCGACTCAAGATCGAAGGTGAGTGGCACGTTTAAGACCTTTAACTTAGTCTGTGCTTCCATACTTCACTGCCTCGACAATCATTATTTTAACCGTTGCGCTCCACGTCTTATTTTCACCATTGCTTATGTAGGTACATCTTGCAGCCCGCTTAAATAACGTTACATTAATTAGATCTATCGCCTAGTTTGTGACCTAATGATAACGTAGTGTTTAGTATTTTCTTGTCGTTATAAATCGAACCACATGCTTATATTTCTTAAAATTCAGGATTTCTGCAAATATATCGAATAACTAACCAATATTTGTTTGCGTAAGGTAAAGTATCAGTGTTCATTTAATAAAATTACATAATCTGATTGAAATAATACCCAGAGGTTACCGTCGGCCTACTTAATTTTCTTTAAAAAAAAGATGATAAATTAGATATTATATTATTATTTGTACACTCTTAACCGTATTGAAGTCATTCACAGCAAGCATATTTAATAATATTAAATTTTTCAATCGCCATCGCCATCCGCGTAAAGTCGTGCCCAAAACATAAAAAAACAAAATTTTATTAGGAGTACAAATAAGTTTCCGCCGTTTTTTGTCGAAAAAATAATATTTATTATGAAAGAAAGGTAATTTAAAAGTATTGTCCATCACTAGCAGCTACTTTTTCCCATCTCTCTGGCAGAATTCGGATTCCACGTCTGAAGAACTCCTCGTCTTTTGAGGCTAATCAACCCAATTTTTGGTATGATGGTTATTTTGGTTCATATGATGTAAACCGCTGCTCCGACAGTGCATATGCCATTGACCGGAACAGATGACAGTCAGACGGATCAATGTCTGGTGAATACGGCGGGTGAGGTAGTACTTCCCAATTAAGTGTTTTTAAATAATTATTCACCGGTACCGCTACATGCGGACGAGCATTATCATGGAGCAGAATAATTTTGTCATGTCTGGAGTAGTATTGAGGGCGTTTTTCCTTCAGAGCTTGACTCAATCTCATCAATTGCGTTCGGTAGAGAGCTCCAGTGATTGTTTCGCCTGGATTAAGCAACTCGTAATACACCACACCCAGCTGATCCCACCAAATAGACAGCCTGAGTTTTTTTCCATGAATATTCGGTTTTGCTGTGGATTTTGACGCGTGGCCAGGTAGTCCCCATGATTTTCTTCTTTTTGGATTATCATATTGTATCCACTTTTCATCACCAGTGACGATTCGATGTAAAAACCTTTTTTTTGTGCCAAGATCATGCATAATCGGCGTTCAACATCTCTCGGCTTTAATTCGCATGGAACCCAATTACCTTGTTTATGAATCATTCCTAACGATTTTAAACGATGTGAGACTGCTTGCTGACTGACTTCTAAAGTAAGTGCAAGCTTTTTTTGTGTTTGAGACGAATCTTCCTCTAATAATTCCGTCAATTCTGCATCCTCATAAATTTTTGGCCATCCACTGCGATCTTTGTCTTCTACGTCAAAATTACCGTTTTTAAACCACTAACGACATGTTCTCTCACTCAAGGCAGCCTCATTATATGCTTTTACAAGCAATCGATGCGCCTCGGCTGCAGATTTTTTTTTATTAAAAAAGTAAATTAAAGGTCCCGCAAAGACGCTTATTTGGTTCAAATTTTAACATTTTTGGATTAAAAAAAATGATGCTAATACGGAGTTAATAATATGATAGGGTTAAGTTGTTCTTAAATGATCAACTTAATTTTCAAGCCGATTATCATCTTTGAATTTGAACGTAAAGCTCGTGCCACACCATCTTTCTCAAAACGGCGGAAACTTATTTGTACACCTTTATATTTTAACAGAGAAGAAAACCGATTTTGCTTCCTTTATGTTAGGCGGGTAATAGCAAATTGCTGATATTTATGTATGTGAAGGGCTACAAACGGTTAATCGAAATAATCGCCATTAACCAACCGATTCTGGTCAAATATTCTTGTCCTGGTTAATTAATAAGCAGAAGCCGGACTCTACCCCTGACATTGCTGAAGTCCATCGGTGACTACTTACCATCATAACTACTTACTTACATTGTACTTCTATGCCGTCAAAAGAAATAAAAATAATTAAAAATGAGAGGACCTTCAAGAAGGAATTTCGGCTCCCACCGTATTCTGATAATACTTTCTAATACTTCTCTTATCAACTTAACACACTTTTATGTATTTTTTTAATGACTATGGCTGTATGTAGGTGGTATGTAACGTTACATGTTTGTTGGTATGTAACGGAATATTTAAAAATTATTTTCACCGACTTTGAGACCTCCGATTAACTTGAAATTTTGCATAAACACCAAGGATCAATGACTACAAAAATTCAATAGCTTTGTTCTAATATTCAGCTGCTTTTGAGTTGATAGGCTTCCTACGCAGGCGCTCTCGAGCAACTGTTAGCAAACCTCCTGTCTTAGTCCTTGAATGCGCCCAGCTGTCTAGTGGACTTGGAAAGGCCTCCGAGCCACCAGCTATGCTTTTACCCTAATTGGCTAATAATCTAATAACAAAAAAGACAGGAACGACACCTAAAACAACCTATTGACATTTGCACATTTACCGATACATACATAATTTACAGTGAGCTTAAATTTTAAGGAGCAAAGAAGAATATCGCCATTGAAGTCTTGGTTGTGTACTCATGCTGAGACAAGTTTGAAAAAATTCCTTGAAATGAATGGCGATTTTACGAAACCTATGCTATTCACTGCCGAAACACCACAGAGGAGATTTGTCGCATACATAGATCCAGATAACAAATTTTGCATTGAAGATAAACTATCTCAGGTTTGCAAATTACATACATTATCCCTTTTTTCATCACTCTGTGCTTTGGCTTTTTTTTTCTAGGATTTCACCAACAACCTAATATTATTATTCCTAACCAATTAAATAAAATTTGGCACTTTTTGTTATTGCTTAGATGGGTGGACGAGCTCTAGTCGCACAAAGTAACCTAACCAACAAAGTTTTACATTTTTAGGATTCTCTTGTTAATTGACTAAAAACGGAACGCTTCGAAACTCGATTTTTTTATTATTTAGGCGGGTAAACGATTTCAATTCCCACCTGGTCTTATGTGGATAGCGGAGCCCATAGACAACTACAACGTCTACAAAGTCAATGTCAGCACCTACCTTGAGATATAAGTTCTCATAGACATCTACAACGTCAATGCCACCACCTACATTGAGATATGAGTTCTAAGGTTTTTACAATACAACGGCTACCCCACCCTTCAAACCGAAACGCATTACTGCTTCACGGCTGAAATAAGCATGGTGGTGGTATCTATCCGTGCGGATTCACAAGACGTCCACCACCAGTAATGAATAATATTAACCAAAAAGAGCTGACACATAAGACGACTTATTATTATTTTTGGCTACCTATTCACTGATAGTCTAATAGGATATTAATAGGATATTCTCGCTACGGGGGTATGGGAAAACTTATTACATTGTTGAATTTTCTAGGTCAATACATTGCAGCAGCTTCAAAATATAGCATCATACGGAATGTTAAAGAAACGCTTAGAAAAACATGATTTACATATACATGCATTATGGTTTGATATTTATACTGGCGACATTTATTACTTTAGTAGGCGCGCGAAACAATTTGTAATAATTGATGAATCAACTTACGAAATGATTTTGTCCGAAGTCAGGAGATTTTACTCTTAATTATATCACAGATTAAGAAAATAAGAATTAAACTCAATATAGTTATAAGTTAATTTGTTGTACCTACTATCCTTAAATTATAGAAATTTTAACGGTTTATTTATTATTATCTAACAGTGTCTTTAATATTATTAGTACAAAATATGTATTATGGGTTGTCAAATCGGGATGGATGTTTTAAAAGGTTTTGTACATTTGTATCAATAAATTTGTTTATGTTTGTATTAGATTTATTTCAATGTCCAATGTACCTGTAAGAGAAAGTGGCAAGAGCAAATGCTTTACTCGTATTTTCGGCTCAATAATCAGTTTATGAGTACAAGGTGAGAACGAAAACAGGACTTTATTGAACTGGATCCCATTCATTCTTGCCCGCTCCTACGAACATTTGACTGATCCATCCAAACCTGTAGGTTCTAAGGATTAGGCTGCGCAATCGCTATTAAGTGCGAAGTGCAGAATTGATAACACAACTCTACAAAAAAATAATTCGTTCTTTGTCCTAACGTTTATCAGGAGAACAGCTATGCCACTTCCTACTGCTCACGACTCCTTTCAAACCTTACATATCGTTTGAAGAAGTTTGTGTCATGGCACTCAAGAAACACCGTGTAGAGAGGATTCATTCTAGGGCCGAATGGTGCGTGTTATAAATGATCTAAGATGATAAAAAATTACTATAAGCACTGTGGTTGCAGGTACATGACGTCTGCTGCGTCACTAGATAGTGCTATGTTAAAAAGATGATGACGCGATTATTGAAAACCATTTCTTCAGAGCATTCTTCATGAAACATAAAGTACAAAACACAAACTCTCCGTAGACCCAGAGGTTCTAAGCAATCCGTAAGGTCAGCATAATAGGAGCCCCGCACAGAAATTGTAGAAGCACTCCATGTGAGGCCAGAAGTGTGTCTTACAAAACAACAGCTCTTTAGGAATTAAGTACAGCCTACGTTTTAAAAGCCATCATGGTTTTACCATCCAAACGATACCGAGTCAAAGGCGGATTATCCGTAAGGCAAACTAGGCACGTGCCTAGGGGCGTGTAGTTACAAGAGGCGCGCGAACTCAGAATTTTTAAATAAATAAAGAAAATAACATATCGACAATTTCTTCACAGTTATAACGTCATATTTCATTCGCGCATTAGCGTAAGTACAAGGGACCTGGTCTACGAAAGTTTAAGGTTTGATGATACAACGTCATTGTAATTGCAAAAACAACTGGTTAAAATTTACAGTAATAGGATGGCCATTTATGGCCGGTACAGGGGCGCCGATAAAGTGATTGCCTAGGGCGCTCTGGACCTTTAATCCGCCGCTGTACCGAGTACTGATACTGAATACCGAATTCGAAACATCTATCCCAAGTAGCACAAAAGACGTGGAAGGTTGCAGTTGTAGATACTTCAGATTCAGATTTATATGTGCAATAACGTTGGATAATTAACTGTTCAGTATCTGTGAAAATTCAGAAATGTTCGAAAAAGAAACAAAGCCACTGGATATAGCGGGACTTCAAAAAAGTTCACTGAAAAAGTCTCAGTAAATAGACACCATTTTACTGAGACTATATTTCATCCCATATTATTTCGCTTCACATTATTTTTCATAAAACAGAATTTACAAAATATTAAGCTGTATGGTGTAATACCTTTGCCTTTCTAATTGGAAAAATAGAACTACTACTGATTTTTTTTTTAAAAGTCAAACTTCACGCAATGTGCTGCAATATTTAATTTTATAGTAACTCTGATATAACTGCATACACGTTAGTTTTGTTTCTTTGGATACTAATAAGGTAATGGACAACAATTTTGTGTTTCTAAAATTCATGAAATATCATAATTTAATGCACACATAACGTTCTGAAATTTTCCGCGAATCGTCAGCTGGCTGCCCTTGAAATCTGCATGATGCTGTAATCGTCTTGAAAATCACTGCCAATGTCTTTCGTTATTGACCGTTTAGTTACTAAAATTTTGAACAGTGAATTGTAGTGAACATTTTCATGTTATTTAATTATTGCAGTTTAAGTGACACTATGACTAACAGCCAACAAATATTTGAATACAATGAAGAATCACAATCTGAAAGACTTGCCAGGAAGTCAAAAGATTCACCATTTATGATAATTGGTAAGGAGTTAATTAATTATATCACAAAATTAATTTACAACCCAAATTGTGTTTAAAAGTAGTAGTGCATGTAAATTCCCCAGAGATTGCAATGCAACAACTTTTCTCTGCTGAGTTATTTACTGAAAATCCAAATCATGATAAGCTCATAAACAATTTGCACCACTATGATGCAACCAAGCAAGATATATAATAGAGAAATACAACAATGTAAAAAATATGTATATGGTAATTTAAATAAAAAGATATTGATATTATTTATATATATAGGGGGTGAATGGCTATTTGGTTTAAGCGACATTTCGCTTAATGTGTGACATTTATCTTTGTATTTAAAGGTGCCTTTATTTGGTACTAGCATCAACATTTAAATCTTTTTAATTGAGCTTCACTTAAGTTTACACCGTACCAAATGGCTGAAGAAGTTTTTTTGTTATGATATTTTTTCCAAATTTTAAACTTAAATGGCTCCCCTGTATATTTGCAATAATGTCGCGTAAACCAATTACCATTTCACCCCTTGATAAAATTGCACCATAATATGTTACATCATCCTTGCAAATGATAATAGAGTTTATTATATTTCAGGGCTCCTTGGATTAGTAGGTGTTTGTGGCTATGGTGCATACAGTTACAAGAAGAGAGGAAAAATGAGCACTAGTGTATTCCTAATGCAGCTCCGAGTTGCTGCCCAAGGCACTGTAGTGTCAGCTCTTACAATCGGGCTGGCATACACATTAGCAAAGGAACACCTCTTTAAAGATTCTAAGAAAGAATAATTATTGACTGGTTTCAAGCTCACCATTAGTAATTTTTTTTGTTTAGGGAACTTGCACATAGCACATTTTAAAGATCTGCAGTATTAAATTAGACCCTTGCTGTCAGATAAATCTCATGTTTTTAAAGTTCATATAATTCATATGCACTACTGGCTGTTGCCACTTATATTAAGCTAATAATAATTATTTTTGTGTAAAATTATATTTCATGAATAGCCTTGCAAATGCAAATTATTACAGCAAGGTTTGTTTTAATAGAAATCTCACTTTTAAATCTCAAAAAAGCTGCTTAGTGTTAAGGTTCCCAGATTTAGAGTAATTTAGTGATAGTTTTGCAAAAAGTTCCTAACTACTTTTTTAGTGAATTCTCTTTTTCCAAAACTATAACTAGTAGCTGAAATGAGTTCTGTGATTTAGCTGGTATTATTTATTATAATGTGTGATGACATTTTGGTGCATACTGTTAGCTGTTTTATTTAGCATATTATAACAAATTTTGATAACATGCATACAAAAAAACATTGGACTCCAGGAAAGCTATTTTTATAGCACCTTTTAATACAGTATGTATAGAATATTAGAAATATACACTCAAAAATTAACTACCCGATTATTATGACGAAATTCTTATTAACTTCAAATGTTATTAGAAACATTGTAAATGTTGAAATTAAATATTTAAATTGTCAACTTTATGATTTTTTTATGAATCCCATAGGTAATGTATAATATACATTTAGATACTCCTTGGTTTTAAAACACTAGCACAGAACTCTGGATCAAAAATGCCTGAAAACAGCCAACTCACTTTGAGTAAGATTCGTAGAAATATATCAAGGTAGCAAACGAATCCGATTAAGAAACAAAAATAGTATATCGTAGATTGAGGGGGATCGGGGCACTTTCTAATCTCAACACAAATTTTCAGCAGTTTTTCTTAGAATAATACCAATAAAATTAGATTAAAATAGTTCCGGAGATTGAATTTTCATTTAGGTACGCTTTATTATTATTTACAAAATATACACAGAAACAAAAAACTAGCTTGACCTGACTGACCTTGGCTTTGGGGCGAGTTAGATCACGTATGGGGACAATACAGTTTTTCGATGTAGTTTTTCTGACACTTCAGTTCTGTTATGTTGGTATAATTTACGTGATTACTGGTGGTAAGACGTCTTGTGAGTCTGCACGGGTAGGTACCAACAAAAAGGTACCCGGAAGAAAAAAAAAAGTTACCACCACCCTGCCAATTTCTGCCGTGAAGCAGTAAAACGTTTCGGTTTGAAGGGTGGGGCAGCCGTTGTAACTATACCTAGAGAATCTAACTTTAGAACTCATATCTCAAAGTAGGTTTTGAAAAGTCGTCGTGGCCTAATGCCGAGTTTACATTACGAAATTAGTGTCATGCATGTTGAGCTCAGTTTCACGAAAGTAGTTTAGATATATGCGAAAGTAATTTCGTTAAAAAATTAGTGTCGCGAAATCCACAGTATCGCAGTAACCATGGCGCCTTCAGCATCAAAGCTATAATTTGCTATATTCAATGTAGCTAAAGAAATGCTAATATACCTATAAACTTAAAAAAAGACTATCAAGAAAAAAAAAAGTTGGTAGATTCGAGGTTGGTCAACAAGAAGGCATTTAGGTGCAATGAAGTTAGTCTCTGAATTAGCAGATGAAGATCCTGAGAGTTATAAAAACTATTTTCGAATGAGTGAAGATAATTTTGATTTTTTACTATAGGTGTTTCGGGACCCTTGTCATTGATATTCATTAATAAGATCTATATTTTTTTCTGTACTCCATCATTGGTTTGCCATTTTCAACGCTCGAAGCGCGTCCGAANAAAACTATTTTCGAATGAGTGAAGATAATTTTGATTTTTTACTATAGGTGTTTCGGGACCCTTGTCATTGATATTCATTAATAAGATCTATATTTTTTTCTGTACTCCATCATTGGTTTGCCATTTTCAACGCTCGAAGCGCGTCCGAACTAACAATTCACACGTCCGCACAGCGCAGGCCCTTTCGCGACATTAGTTTCACGTCGCGTTTACACTATGAAATTAGTTGCATGACACTAATTTCACAAAAAAATCGCGCAGGGCACGAAACTAATTTACATGCATGAAATTAATGCATGCATTACGAAAGTATTAAATTACACGTGAAACTGTTGGTAAAACTAATGTCACGAAATTCATTTCACGCCACTAATTTCGTAATGTAAATTCGGCTTAAAGGATAAGACGTCCGGTGCATTCGTATATAGCGATGCAACGGTGTTCGAATCCCGCAGGCGGGTACCAATTTCTCTAATGAAATACGTACTTAACAATTGTTCACGATTGACTTTCACGGTGAAGGAATAACATCGTGTAATAAAAATCAAACCCGCAAAATTATAATTTGCGTAATTACTGGTGGTAGGACCTCTTGTGAGTCCGCACGGGTGGGTACTACCGCCCCGCCTATTTCTGCCGTGAAACAGTAATGCGTTTCGGTTTGAAGGGTGGGGCAGCCGTTGTAACTATACTGAGACCTTAGAACTTATATCTCAAGGTGTGTGGCGCATTTACGTTGTAGATGTCTATGGGTTCCAGTAACCACTTAACACCAGGTGGGCTGCGAGCTCGTCCAAACACCTAGGTGGCGGCATTTACGTAGTAGATGTCTATCCGGCTGGCTTCGGTAACCACTTAAGACCACATTGGCCGTAAGTTCGTCTACCTACCTAAGCAATAAAATAAAATAAAAACAGTTATCAACTAAATTATTAATGTTGCTTTTTGGTTGTCGATGTGCACGCGAATGGTAAAAATATTTTCATTTAAACGGGCCAAATGAAATAGAACTTGAAAAACTATCTTTGTTGAATTTTATATTAATCAAACTTATGTAGGTTTCTTCTTTTTCTTCACCTTAACCCACTAGATGGGGTCGGCACTATAATTTTTCTCTTCCGTTCTCTTCTATCAGCTGTCATCTCAACACACTCCTTTCTTTCTCATATCGTCATTCACACTCTCCATCCATGTCTTCTTTAGTCGACCTCTTCCCCCTCTAGCTTGCACTACCGTTTCCATACATCTCCTAGTCACATGCATCTTCTCTCTACGCATCACATGTCCATACCACGCTAACCGTCCGCTCTTTGGTTTGTTAATAACCGGGCCTACTTTCAATCAAAGATAAGTAAGTAGGTATGTAACTAATAGTTAGCTATCTTAAATAAATCGTCTAGACGCATAATGCCTAGCAGTCGTAGAACATCCAATTCACTATTTGAGAAATAGATTAAAATACCAACAAAAATAAAATATTAACCAAGTATTGGTATTGTTACATCCCCAATAACAATCCAATTCACCCATAGCCGTCCCGATCGACTCAGTCTGGTCCCTATTAAACCCTCTCTCCGTCCCGATCTCCCCCGTCCACGACCCTATACACCATATTCTTCAACCCCTTTCCCCTATTTCTTGTTCAAATTCGACTCATTCAGATTTTGTTAAACTACATGAAAAACAATGATATATCACTTAAATTATATCGTATACTATTCCCAAAATACTGAAAATAACTCTCAAAACCAAATTTGACACAAATTTCAAAAAGTAACAAAGATATTTAAAATGTAAGACTAAATTTTGTAGCTTACCGACCCGATTGACAAATTACCGTTTTATTCTTAAATTCACAATGAAAAGTCGACTGAATGTCGTTAAATTAAAGAAAAAATATTGCAAGCTTCAAATTAAAATTGGTCGATACAGTTAAAAATACAAAATCATGCTTACTAAGGCCGCAAAGAAAATCCTAGATTAACCCCTTTTCCCTTAATCTACGGTACCTATCTAAAGAAGTAGAAAGGTTAAAGGGAACTGGTCCTTAGGCGGCCTGTCCACCGGAACGGAGCGAGGCAGCAGAGCAGAGAAACGCGAGAAATATTAACCAATAAGCCCAATAAGATTGCATAAAATCATTGTGCAATCTTATGATTTTGATTTTGTGCAATCTGATTGGTTAATATTTCAAAATCATTTTGCAATCTTATGATTTTGATTTTGTGCAATCTTATTGGTTAATATTTCTCCGTTTCTCCGCTCCGCTGCCTCGCTCCACTCCAGTGGACAGGGAGCCTAAGGTATAGTAATCGGCAAACTTCTTGAGCAAATGACCTTGACTGCGCAGAACCGAATTTTAGGTCACTTTGGTGGTAAGGGTGAGGCGCGACGGCAGGGGACATCGTATCGAGCGCGTTATTGGTAGATCAGTCGAACCTTGCGTCCCGCACCGCGCCCTCATTCCGCTTGCTCCCAAAAGTACGCTTGCGTACAGTGGAAAGTCTATCATTATTAATCGTTAAGTTATTTGTTATAATTGCTTGTGGACTTTGTTGCCATTGCAATTTGTTGAGTGTTTGTTGATTTTTTATAAAACATACACTATGCCGTGACAAACTGGTGTAGTACTTAAAAGAAAGGGTAGAAAATTTGTGTACGACGTATATTGCTTCATTATAAAACAGGGGAAGAATGATATGGAAAAATTAAAACAGACTTCGGAAGCAACAAAAACATCAGTGAGTACTGTTAGGTGCATTATTAACGAAGCTAAAGGCTCTGGCTTGCTCGCCGTGTTTCGGACTCCGGGTAAGAAAAGATCAGGGAAGAAGAAAGTTACCGGAATGGATAGTTTCGTTCAATCTGTAATAAAAAGATGTAATCATAATAACTACATAACAAGCAGCGAAACTCCGTACCGTAGAAAGGCTTCGAAAAATTTAAAGAAGATATAAATTTTAATGGCTCGGAATGAAGCTTACGACGAATTATGAAAGAGCTAGGCTTCAGATGGAAAAAAAGAACAGAAAATAATCGGAAGCTGGTAAATGAAAAAAGTAACATTCGATTACTACGAATCGAATATCTTCAAAAAATAATTAATTATAGACAAAAAAGAAGACCGAATCGACCGAGTTGTAAACTACGCCGATGAGCCCTATGTCGACTCATCACGATGATAGCGACTCGGGTGATGAAAACAGTGATGATGATGATGGTCAAGATTATGATAACGAAAAAAAAATTACAAATACCAGCTTCGCTTTAACTGAACCAAGACCTGGCAACAGCTCTAGTTTTGACTTAATAGAAGGAATATCTATTTTACCCCAAGATTAAATTATTACAATTATTAACCTATATGTTTTGTTGATGTTCTAATAAATATATAAATAAATACATATGTTGATTTTAATAATTTAATAGCATTATGACGCAGAGTAAGTAATGTTTTTGCACGTGAGTGTACCATGCGCAAACTTACCCCCACTACGTCAACAAATGCTCAAGAAGTTTGCCGGTTATTATACAGAGAGTAAAGTGACAACTTGAAAGCCGACATGAAGATTGTACTAGACTACACTGGGTACTAGGTAGGTAGTGCCACAAGAATAGTACATAAATGCACACAAAAAAACAAATATAGTAACAAAGCAACTCCAGAGAATATGCCCTATACTTGTCTACAACTATATCTACAGCCAAGTATATACATGTAAATATTGTATTCATGAAATGAATGTGCTCATTTTGTATAGCATGAGCTCATTTTTAATTTTCAGTTGGATAGTTAATAAAAATGTATTGCTAAAATGTATTGAAAATCTTTATAGAACATAATTCATCAAAAATAAAATATATTTGCACAAATTACATGGATACAGAAAATAAATATGTAATACAACAATTAATCACTTTTACTACTATCCGATGAACTCATCTTCGTCTTCAAACTTAGTTTTGGAATTAGTAAGTCGTCCTTTTCTGATGCGGAATGATTTTTCATGGAATTCGATGTGCCTTTTACCGAAGACAGGTCGTCGGCATTACTAAATAGGCCGTTGGACAAGTTTGAAGTTGAACTAGATTGGTATGTCATCGACTTGTAAACTTGTACAGGGGTTGATGTACGTGCTCGGTTGTTTCCACTCGGAATGCTGTCCATCGAAGGCTGTTCACGGGTATTGTCAGAATCATGTTTCATACCTTCAGGGATTTTAGTGTCAAACAACGATACAAATTCTTCTGAATCATCTTTGTAAGTCTTATTGGTAAAAGTTATTTTCTTGGCTAGTTCATTTTTCAAAAAGTCTTTCACGGTAATTGAATTTATTAAAGATGTCTGTTGCTCGACGTTCGAGGTTTCTGGTACAACACATTTTTGTTTCGTGTTTTTTGACGAATTTAAAATGGACGACACCGAATCAGTCACTAACGCTGGTATTTCGTGGTTATTAAAACTCTTTATTTTGAATTGAGATAAACTAGAACTGGACGTATTACTTGATGATGAAAGAGCCAACCTTTCTTTTGTCTTTTTTAAAGTAGAAGACGCCCAGCCCATTCCTAAATTTTTAAACGCTTTCTCTAAATCTGGATTTGATGAAACGCTTAATGAATCTGATGTTTCGGCCGCATTTTCTTTAGTGTTAAACATAACGCTTGACTTCTTTTTATCCTTTCTAGTTTTTGACAATGCTAAAACAGACATCGTAGATTCAGATGATATCGAAGTGGAATTAATGTTCGAAACTGTATCATATTTGAATGGTTCACTTATAACGTTCCTTTTGAGCAATTCAGCTATAACATCTGGTAAACTGCCATCAGAGTGAAGAGAACTAATTTCATCAGTAACTATTTCTTTAGCAATTTCACTACCAAAATCGCTATGTAAAATATTACATTGCTTGGCATGTTCTTGAAATGTTATGAATGGCTTTAACATAATCTCATTGAACTGTTTTAAATCCATCATCTGTACTTTAGAGACGTCTGACAATTCATTGTTGCGGGGCAATTTAATTTTATGATTAGGAACTTCCAAATTACTTTTTAATAAATCAGGATCTACCAATGTTTCTCTATTTTGGGAACTGCTTAAAGTTTCATGTTTAGACTCTACTTTTTCTGCATTTCCTGAACTGACAGGAATCTCGCTCTTGTTGTTCGATTGGTTTTTTAATTTGAGACTCATGGGTGAGTCAACTTCTAAAACTGTTGATAATTCATGAGGAATTATATGATCGTTGCCATGTTTCAAATGAATCCTCGAAAGCGCAGGAGGTGGTTTCGCTCTTGTTTTGATATTTACCTCCAAGCTGGATAGTAAATGTGAATCAAAATTTACAGGCAACTTTACAACTGGCGATACCGAAAGATGCGTGTCGCCTGAGTCAAAGGAAGTTGGTGGCGGTTTTGGAATATCATTTAAAAACGGGATATATTCAGTTGAACTTATAGTTGTATCTTTAGATGATACAGATTTAGTTCCTAAGAAGACTTGGTTATTCTGTAATTCATTATCTTCGTCAGATTGTGTGTACGGTGGAGATTTACTGTTTAACATTTTTTCATTTCTGTGTTCTGAACCAGAAGTGTTATCTGAGGACGAGATTTGGCTGTAAACCAGTGACTTATTTTTCCTTACTTCCTCTAACACTTTAGCCAAGTTTGATAGACGTTTAGTACATTTTTCAGTTAGGTCAGCAATCTTCTCCATATTCTGAAGTTTATCGACAGCTAATTTTACGTATGTTAAATCTTCGTTAACAGTTTGAGTTCCAGTGGTCATCGGAATTTCACATTTGTTTTGTTTAGATTCGTCAAGCACCCAATCACAAGGCCGCGTATTAAATCGGGATTGATCTGTTATAGGCATATTATTTTTAATCTTGTTCTGTTGACCCTGTAGTTTTACGTTAGTAGATAAAGATACTTTATTATTTCTTTTCTCCTCTTTATTATTTTTGTTCGTTTCTTCACATCGCAGATTTGAATGACTTGGTTTGAATACAGAACCACCAGTTTCTATTTTTCTTGTAATTTGTGTTGGTTTGCTGCTAGGTTTATCTTTGTTTGATGTCTCCGTATCGTCTTTCATAGAAGATGTAGACGAGCTAATAGCAAGTTTTTCCATAGACACCTGTGTTACTCGTGTTGCCTTGGGCTTCAAATTCTTTGAAACGTTGAAAGATTTCACCTTGTGTACGATTTTCTTCCGACACAGTTTTGGCTTTTGTTTCAATGGACTCTTCTGAAAATCTCCCATGATACATTCATTTGGTGGTGGAAAATTCTTATTTTCATTCAAAAATTTTTGTTTTACTATATGTTTTATTTGTTCTAAAGATATTTGAGTCTCCGCGCTTTTAGTTCGGTTGATGTTTTTTGGCTCATTGACGATGGAGCTTCCTGGTGTGGCTACAGAACTGCAATCTTGATTGACTACCTCAACAGCTTTTAATCCTTCCCTATTTAAAGTCAACAATTTGCTTACGTAACTTTTTATTACGGGGTTTAAGTTGGTTTGAACAAATGTAGGCCTGTCTTTATATTTCAAGTTATATACAGATTGCAAAGGCTTTTTAGTTACATTATCTGTATTATGTCTGTTAAGACATTTTTTAGAGTTTCCAGAAACTTGATTCTCGTTTTTATTGAATTTTGTTGACGATGATTTCTTTGCACATTTTTTGTGCCTATGTGAGCTCAGGCAGCTAGACGTATTCGAAGGAGTATGTTTAGATTTAGTACAATCCTTATAACATACAGAATCTCTGGATTTCCGTGACATTCTTTTATTGGGAATCTGTATACATCTTTTACAGCTGCAACTGTATTCTTCGTTATGATCGTTATAATGATGTTGATCGTAATGTTCAAGTTTTTCCCGACTTTGAACACGAGACGACTCATAGAATCGTTCTTTGTGTTTACAATGTCCACGTTTCAGACATCTGGGTAGGATTAATTCAGGTGGACTCATGTAAGCGGTAGACGTGGAAGAACTCATATGAAAAAATACTGGTCTATTATTCGGAGAGCTGAAGCTTGTTTGAGTATACGTCGAGGTTCCTGGTCGGAGCCCAGGGTCTGTTTTCGGCGCATTACTTGGCATCACATAAGACAATTTAAAAGAAGTTTCTACGCCTTTATCACAAAGCGAAGCTTTAGGTGAATCAGCCTGATTCGAGGCGATGTCGTTTTGTCCTGCTTCAGTAACTGTATCCGGAGGAAGAACTGGGAAAACGTCGTCTTTATTTACATTAATCTCTGAAGCTTTTGTCACTGCGTCAGACTTATCCATATTGGAATGTTGGACAGCACTTACTTCCCTCTCAGACTGGGCGTTATCTTCTGCGGCTGCCTCTGGTTCAAGATGTGTCTCCTTCGTATTTTGTTTTACTTCCGTTGACTCTGTTTTTTCTTCAAGTTTGTTCTCGTCGTATTTCTTTCTCAACTGTATGACCACTTCATAATTATCGTTTTTTAGAAATCCTGAAGCTCCAATGTAAAATTGCCCTGCTTCGTGGCCACCGGTTTCTATGAGTTTGATAAATCCAGAATCTGGAGTGGTATTATTTGCCGCGTTGGTTGCTGATTTGAAGGATGTAGTGGACGTCGCTGCTGATGGTAGTGGCGGGGGAGGACTTTGTCTGGCCTTTGACTTAGAGCACGCACATTTACAAGCCACGCATAGATTTGATGTTCTGTTGACCAAAAATTATATGAAATATATTATATTATAATTTTATTATACTATATGGGGTTACGGCCTACCTTGTGCTAAGTATATACCAGAGCTCGTGGAGATGATGTCGAAATCTCAATTACATTGTTTAATGGCTTTCCCGATTTATAAACTAAATTGTATGACTACTTTGCGCCGAAACAGGCAGGACAGTGGTACTAGTATAGACTTACTGCTTCTAACTACTTCTAACATAAACCCTTACTACCAGTATAATTTAAATAATAGGATAGTCTAATTCAATATATATGCACCCACCTGTTTGATGAATCACTGATATCCCAATGATTAGCAGCTCCTGCAAAGACAGAGTCATAATGTATTGAAATTTTGGAAAAAATATTATTTCTTTGCTTAGGGCGTACTAAAAATTATACCTTCCATGTCTTTCGATTTTTTGCTACATTGGCAAACTTTACTTCCTTCTGGTTTGTGTGAAGCATTCTGATTGGTCTTTTGAAGATTCCTATGAAAAATACAAACGAATATTAAATTTATATTGTTCACCTCAACATTACAAAATGTATATTTCATTTAAATGAATATGACACGCCATATAAGCTAGATACTAGATGAATAGTGAACACTAAAAACTATGGTTTATTCGGAAGCAAAACGATTAGTTACCACCAGCAATTTTGTTCGGTGCTGTGCCACAATTCGACATTTGTATTAAAACATTTTTCTATAAATAGCCTGAAGTATAAGAAACTTGTTTTATTAAATTAATTACATTAACATAATAAGAGTAAAGTAAATGTAGGAACAGTAGGGAACTTAAATTTGTATTTGATATATTATGCCAAATGATTGAGCAGAAGAAATTGTTACCTCAAGTTCAACAGCCAAAACAATGGCATTTGGACGAACAAACAAGACAGCATAATTTAATTAAAATTGATAATTTTACGCCTGACAATTCTTGGCTGAGTTATCAACGCATTATAATACTACGCTGATTTAGCGAAGTTTTAAGCTCGACAGATCCTTCGGACACGTTATACTGTATGTAAGGTAAGAGTTCCGAATCAGAAACGGTAATACATAAGGCACACAGAAATTTCTGAACTCCCGGCCGCGCCATAAATGAGCGCCGAATTAAGCATAACTACAGTTTTAGGCTATGTTGAGTTTCTCTGAAAGATAGAATCCGGAGCGAAGTGATTCGTCAGAGAACCAAAGTTATCGATATACCACAGCGGATTAGCAGGCTGGAGTAGCAATAGACTAGACGTATTAGCTGGAGAACCGATAACCATTGGGGTAAATGTGTTCTTGAGTGGAGACCACAAATTGACAAACGTAGCGCCCTCAAGTTTGGTGGGGAGACGATCTATGCAGGGTGGCTGGTAAGAAAGAGCTGGATGAGAAAAGCCGAGGATCGTGCTCAGTGGCGTGCAATTGGAGAGGCCTATGTCTACTATAGGCTGATGATATGATATATAGTCTTAAATCATGTTTTTTTTTTGTTATCATCATTTACTTCATTTTCTAATTCAAATATCGATCTAGTTAATTAGACTTTCAATGTCGCCAATAATAATTATCGATATACCCAGATTGACATGTTTTTTTGTTTCTTCATACTAATATGTAGTTTGCTTTTACTGACTTTCTTCAAACACATCTGGTTGCTTTAATTGCAGATAAAAAAGAAAACAAAAAAAGTTTGCTCACATACCCTTTATCGTTTACTGGTTCGTATACACCTGAAAATAATAATAAAAATTAAATGGAAATTTTCGATTTAGGTACTTTAATTTTGCAATGACATGCAAATGGAATGACGCTTTAATTAGCTATTCGGCTTGATTGCGCCTGTAATATTCTTATGCGACGCCGATCTTAATAAACAGAACACCCGATCCTGTGGATCGAATGGTAAACAGTCGACGTTGCCCTAAACACGTCATTACGGATCCTTCCGATCCATTAACGGTGCTTTTAGGTACCTCAAGCACCGGTCGCCGTCCTCGCCGAACCCGTCGCTTCCGACGAAGGACTCGACGAGTAAATTAACCCAGACACAGCCCGCTGAGTTTCTCGCCGGATCTTCTCAGTAGGTCGCGTTTCCCATCCGGTGGTAGATTCTACGAAGACACTGCTCTTGCAAGGGCCAGTGTTAGCAACACCTCCGGATAAGCACTTATTATTATCAGAATGTCAGTCAATCGTCTCGACCGGCCAACAACGCAGGTGTGACATTCCCTAACTACTGCTACAGCTTCCACCATGTTTGCAGCAATAGTCTCCTTCAGTCAGTTTTCCTACTCAACCTAAGCCCCTATCTATATTACTAGTGGTAGTTTTTTTTCCTATCTAAGCTGATAGCCTTGAGAGGCTATTTCAGCGTAACCTTAACTAGTAGGTGAGCTGACGGGGCTCAAACCTGACAACGTAGCTAACACGAACCCTAGCAAGAGCCGTGCTTTGCAGAATCTACACCACAAAGCATTCACACAATTTGATAGTGGCCAGTATACGGATACAGACTTCTGTTTTACGTCCCGAAGTGGACAGAAGCCTTCATATTTGTTTCTACGTGCTTCCATAAAAATTTAATATCTACAGAGTATGAGCTCTACTGACCTCGTTAATAAAAAGCCATTGTTCAAGAACAACATTGTAAGTAAGAGACATTAAGTTATACTAGTACTAAAAATGAAATATACCTTCATCTACATGTTCTGCTGAATCTTTTTCTTCAGGTTCATCGGTTGTACTTGGTACAGGTTTTTTACTACAAACATTCGATCCTAAAGATTGTTTGATTTCAGTCAATAGCTTATTATTCTTCTTGAAATTTTTGTTTTTTCTAGAATCCAAAATTTTATAAATAATAATCCTATCGGCCTCAGAAATTTCACTCTCGTTTTGCACGTTCGTTTTTTTTGGCTGAATCCTGATGTTTTCAGATGAACTGACATTCGATGTAACTGAGGAAGTCTCGGTAGTGTCGCTAACATCATTATCAACTATCAAATCTTCAATTCTTCTAGTGGCTTGATTTTCTTTACTAATATCTTTAGTAGGCGGAGTGTGTTTGTGTCGTGATCTGTACTCATGATAGCTGTCTACTTTGCTAAACTTTACTGTGTTCCCAACTTTTCCTTCTCTAACAGATGTTGGGATCGTATGAATAGCAAGGTTATTGTCACTTTCGGGCACTGGCATCCAAGAATATTGAAAGTCACCACTTTCAAAGTTGTTGATTGGTGATTTTGAGTTCCTTCGTCCATTCTGTGTAGAAAATAAATATTGGATTTCTTTGTTTAATTTTTACGGCTATTTAAAAAAAAAAAAAGAATAAATGCAACTTACTGTTTTTTTATGTCTGCTACATTCCCTTTGTATTTTTCTGAATTCACATTGCATCTTGTGTTGTCGTCTCTCCTGCTGCAGCTGCTGACGATTCTCGTCCATATAGGAGCTCCTCTACAAATACGTTGACACAGTTAGGCAAGTTAATCATTATAATTATGACTCCAAAAAGGGAAACTGATAGGTCTTCACCAATGAAGTTGTCGTTTTACAATACTGGCCATTTGAAATGTAATTTATGTATGTCTCACCATAAATATTCAACGAATTAAAGGGGATAGTGGAAGCTGACGGTACTCAATCTACCACTGAGTTAGCAGTAGCTTTCAATACTAGCATCAAAACAATATTAGTCCATTTGGTACACCTTGCGTTGCTTAACAGATATATTAAGCATATTTGTAACAGTATATTTTTTGTTGAGCTTGATACTTATTACTTACGGTTGGTTGATTCATGTCTTTTGGTAGTGATTTCAAAAAATTCATGGTATCTTTATATTCTTTCTCCACTGATTCCTTTGTCATTGCTACTCTGTTTCTTATATTCTTAATTCTTGTTTGTTCTTTGTTCTCTCTACTTTTCGAATTATCAACATTTGATTCTCTCATCGCTTTAACATATGCATCTTCCTCAGTCTCACGATCCCTTGTTACATACTGTTCATCATTATTAACAACAGGTATACTTCTGGCATCTCGTGTGGAATGATCATACATGGTTATAAATTTTTTCCCAGTAGAACCACTGGCTGTTGCACTAGTTCTTAATAACCTTTCATTGCTTAAATTCTTACCTAAAATGTGTATAAATACATATAATACTATAAATGTTTCTTGAGTACGCAACAAACATGCTACATAATTAATGTCATTTAAATAGATTATTAATATGTTTACACTAAAAGACAGCATTGTAACAGTGGTTACGTGTGGCTCTTTACAAGCATAATTCATGAACTGCTATTTGGGATTAAGAATATGCACTACTATGATTCTTACACTAAGGTTTTTTTTCCTACCTTATAGCTGGTAGCCTAAGGGACTATTCCAGCTACTCACAGACTGATATGTGAGTTCAGGGCCCCAATCTTACAGAGTATGATAACACTGGTCTCTAAATCTACCACGAGATTGAAATCACAATCCATTGAGAAGACCCAGTTAGAAACTCAGTGGTTTAAAAGCCATTATATACATATGTACAATGGTAGTATTGTGAAGTATATACGTGAGTACTCATAGTAATTAGCTTGTTGTACTGATACTGATAATTAGTATCAGTAACTATAATGAAAAAAAACTATATTTAACTACAGTAAATTTTATAAATGCTCACTATTTCCATGATACACAGTCGATTTTTTTATAAGACTCTTTTTACTGAGAGAAAGATTAGAACATGGCTCTTGATAAGATTTTCTTTTTGTAACTTCATTCAAAATTTTATTATTGATATTTGTTTTATGCATTAAAACTTGGTGATAACAAAGCTGACATTTTTGAGATTCCCAAGATGGAACAGGAATTACTTGTTCATCAAGTACATGACACACATAACTTGTACCTTCAGTTCTTGATGATCTTGTACGTAGAATAGTTTCCTTCACACCAACTAAATCACCGCATTGACTTTTGTTTAAACTGCTAATATGATCGGTTTCTCTCAAACGCATAGCTCTATTCCTCAAAAATTCTGAAACTATATTTACAGATTCCTTAACTGAAACTCTTTCTTCATTGACGACACTTCCACGAAGACTCAACGGCATACCCTCACTCAATGCAAAGAGATCTAACCTCTTGCTATTGTCAGATTTCTGTGGCATATTATTATTAAGTTCAGTGGGAGTGTCTTTATCGTCCATCAAAGTTAATGTTGGAATGTTGTGTTCTAATTCAGTTGATGGTTCTTCCATTTCCCATTGAGTGGCAATATCATTTCTGCTTGGTTTCTCTTGTTCCTGAGCTACTGGCTGTGCATCTTTAGACGGTTCTTCCATTTCAGTACTTTGAAGATGTGTCTCTGAAGGTTTCTTTGACGCTTTAATAGTTTTATCTCTGCTTAGTTCATTAGCTACCTCGCTATAAATAAAATTACAAATTTAGAAAACTTTGGATTTGATAATTTTACAATATAATAGTCAATTTTAAAATATATAAATTTTATATTTTCTGTAGTTATTACACTATTAGTTTGTTCCATAATCTGTTTTACAAGTCATTGCGCGTTGACAACTGATTGTAAGACATGTAAATCTGGATGCTTCCATACCAGCATACTGGTAATGAGTGAGCATCCATTCAGATTTAAAGGTTAGGCAGCCCTTATTCTAATGTAATGAGAGCTTCAACCTCATGTCTCAAGTTTATTTATGATATTCACATTCACTGTGGTGTTCTTCAGCTTCTAGTAACTACTTAGTACCATGTAAAAAAATAAGTATTTGAAAATTTCTACACTATTAAGTATGCAATTTAAAAATGAATATTATTCCTATTTAAGTAACTGTACCGGGCTTGTAATTTTCTGTCTAATATTCTTTTTTGTTCATCTAACTTTTCCTGTTTTGCTCTTCTTAATTTTGAGGCTGCTTCCCTCGCACGTACTTTTGTTAGATCTAATTTCTTTGGAACCACATCTAAAAACAGATTTTTTTATTTTATACTTATGAAAGGCTTTAATCAAATGATCTTAATTAAAATTCGGTTATAATTTAATTCTATCATAACAATAAAACTACCAGGTCGATCTTCTAAGGCACTCCTATGACTAGATCCTACATTTTCTATTCCTTTTGAGTACAACACCTCTAATTGTTTGACTAGTTCTCCTTGTTTCATTAAATATTCCCTTTGTTTGAAAACGTCGAAGTCTGACGCCTGTTTCAACTTTTCAAGTTTAGCACGCTGTCTTATTTTCTTAGCAATATCTTTTGATTGCTCACGTACCTAAAAATATTAGTTGACGAAAATTACTTAATAAAATGTTTTTTTTTTGTAAATTGTCTATGTCGTAAAGTACATTAAAATTTAAAATCACCTGTTGAAGTCTAAGCTTTCTCCGTCGTTGAAATTCATTTGTTTTCAAATTTTCTGTTTGAGATGTCATCTTGGCGTTTGAAAAAGGAATTAGTTTGAGAATTTTCTTCTGATACTAATAACCACGCAAATGATCACAAAATATGTACGGTATAAAATAAGTTTTGGCGCAGGTAAATAAACAATTAAAAACGGTCAAAACTTAAAACTTCAAATTGAATCAGAGGAACTGACAATTGACATTTATGATGTTCTGACAGCTACAGCTAATCAAAGTCAAACAAAATGGCGTGTCGGCCATTTTTGATTCTTGGAATAGGGATGCAACATCCTTCGTAAAAAAAATCTAAAGTAGAATTCGTTAATTTTAACTATCAATCTTCGGTATTTAAAACATCGTGGTAAATGAACGCTATATCGATTTTTTCGAAGTTGTCATCAATATTTAAATTTATATTGTGAAGATACGTTAAACAATAATACACATAATATATCGAACAAATATGAATTTTTAACAGAAATGAAGTAAGTAGATTTATTAATAAAACATACATAATATATTTTAAAAAGTTGTCGTGGCCTAAAGGATAAGATGTCCGGTGCATTTGAATCTAGCGATGCAACGGCGTTCGAATCCGCAGGCGGGTACCAATTTTTCTAATGAAATACGTAGGTACTTAACAAATGTTCACGATTGGCTTCCATGGTGAAGGAATAACATCATAATTATAATAAAAATCAAACCCGCAACATTACAATTTACGTAATTACTAGTGGTAGGGCCTCTTGTGAGTCCGCACGGGTAGGTATGGGCTCCAGTAACCACTTAACAACCAGGTGGGCTGTGAGCTCGTCCACCCATCTAAGCAATAATAAAAATAGTATATTTCATTTATGTACTACGTTTATTTCTTTAAAATAAAATTTCGAATAAACATGAAGTCCTCGAGCCCAGTAAGTGGGTTCTTTAATGAGTGATTGTGGAGCTACAGCAGCTTTACGAATAACTCAAGTCTTAAAGCCTCAAAAACTTTAAAAATACGAAAATTCAATTTGGGGGTCGATGAGATCTAAAAATCGACTCTCATTAATTAATACTAGTTCTTATTTGAAAGTTAACTCCGCCGATTCCGGTCCCAAGCCCGGATGAGAAAGGAGGAGGCTTGATAAGGAGGAAAACAACCCAATCATAAAAGAAAACAACGCCGAAAATCGGGCGGCGGTCAATTAACCCGATCCCTCTGACACCTGTTGGAGTGGCTCACTGAGACCATGAGGACTTAAACAACCTCTACAATTCTGCAGTGGAAAGATCTGGGTACCCACCACTAAGTATTTACCCAAGAAAACTCCCTCAATGAATAGTACGATTTACAGACCTAGTTTGTTGAGCGATCCGGCTAACCCCCGGCGCGCTCGGTAACTGGGCCGAACGGTGTTAAATTAGCTACCGAAGCCGCTTCTGGGGCGGGACACCAGGCTCTAGACAGTGGACATATTACTGATGCCACGAAAAGTAAAGTCTCAATCAGAGAGCTCAGACGCATAGCTACCTGGAACGTCCGTAGATTGGGGAAAGTTAGATATAGTGGAGAAAGAAGCAGAGTCGCACAATATAGCCTTACTTGGTGTGACGGAGACTCACAAAAGAGGACAAGGTCGTTACGGGACCTCCAATGGGAACACCTTGTATTTTTCCGGGCCCGCTAATTCCAGTACAAATGGAGTCGCCATCCTGCTATCTCGCCAGCTGAATAACCATGTAATGGCCTAAAATCCAGTCTCAGACAGGATCTTAACACGTATCCCTGTACCTTAAACATGGTCGTTGTTTACTCCCCTACTTCAACATCAGAGGAAGCCACATGTGACGAATTTTACTCGAACTTGGAAGGAGTTCTCTCTGAAATACCGAACCGGGAGATCACAATGGTGATTGGGGACTAGGACGCGAAAATAGGCAGCACAATAGACGACGACCATCTAAGAAACACAGTCGGTAAATACGGGCATGGTACCAGAAATGATAGAGGAACCAGACTTCTTGAGTCTTGCATAGACAAGAAACTCACGATAATGAACACGTGTTTCCAGCATCACCCGAGACGGCTTTACGCATGGATATCTCCTGACGACCGCTGCCGTAACCAGATTGACTATATACTGATTAGTAGTCGCTGGAGATCATCAATAACAAACGTGAAAACCTTCCCGGGAGCTGATTGTGGATCCGACCATAGTTTGTTGGTTGCTAAGTTTGCCCTGCGCCTCAAAGCAATAAAGAAAAAGTGCCTCAAACCTATGTGTATGCTAACGCCCGCAGAACAAAAGCAGGTCCAATGTCCACTTGACGAAGCGATTGTTCAGACATCTCCATTAGCAAACTCGGACTCGGACGAACAGTGGAGACACCTAAAGGACCAGATCAATGAGACATTCGAAAAGGTTAGCAACAAGCACCCTCTTAAACCCTGCCCTAAACAGACCTGGATGTCAGATAAGACCTTGAAACTCATACAGGATAGGAAGGAGCTTAGAAGCCGTGGGTTATCAGATCCAGCAGACAGAGTAAAGTACTCCTAGTTTTCTAGAATGATCCAAAGACAATGTCGGCATGATGAAAACAACTTTATTGAGTGCATCTGTCAAGAAGTAAAGCAGCATGCGTTCAGATCGCAAAGCTCGGACCTCTTCAAAAAGTTAAAACTGCTGACAAAACAGTTCAAACCCAAATCATGGCTGGTAGAAGATGAAGATGGTACGCCTTTGCAACAAGCGGGTTTTGTAAAGGGCAAAGGAACTCGTGAGCAAATTCTAAGAATTCGCCAATTGATCGAAAAGGTCTACGAGTTCAACACACCCACCATCTTTTGCTTTATCGACTACAGTAAAACCTTTGATTGTGTTGTGTGGTCGGACCTATGGAAGGTACTTAGGGAACTGGGAGTACCTCTACACCTCGTTGCCCTCATCTCCTCTCTATACCTGGACAATCAAGGAATGGTAAAGGTCGAGAACTGCACATCAGAGCTTTTTTGTTTCGGTAAGGGGGTAATACAGGGATGCATCCTGTCCCCTATTCTCTTTAACGCCTATGGAGAGTACATAATCAGGCGAGCATGTGAAGGTTGGGAGGGCGGAGTCACAATAGGTGGCACTAAAATAACCAACGCACGTTACGCAGATGACTTGCTGCAAGTGAAATCGAGATGGTGAAACCCTTGCTCGGATTGAGAACATCAGTTGCGTAAGATATGGAGAGACCGTAACATCACGCGAGAAACTAAAACTAAATTGGTGAGTTCGCTAGTTTTCTCCATATTCAGTTATGGCGCGGAGACCTGGACAATGAAGAAGGCCGACAGAGACCGAATAGACGTCTTTGAAATGTGGTGCTGGAGAAAAATGCTACAGATTCCATGGACCGCCTTTCGCACCAACGTGTCTATTCTGAGATAGCTTCATATCAAAACCAGACTTTCCACTATAAATGCCTTCGTAGGGTGCTGGAATTCTTCGGACATATTGCTCGTAAAGAGGGTCACAATCTAGAACAGCTGATGATGACAGGAATGGTAAATGGCAAACGGCCCAGAGAACGCAGTCCCATGAGATGATCGGAACAAATATGATCTTCTCTAAAAATCAACTTCCACAATGCCCTTCATGAAGCTAAGGATCGCAGCAGATGGAGGGAAATCGTACGGGAGAAATTGAAGTCGGGGAGTCACGACCCTCAGTAATGAGGAAAACGACGCGCGGAGGAGGATTTGAAAGTATGAAGATAGTGTATATTTTGTATTACGTGCGTAAGTCACCAATTTATTGAATGACTGATATTTGTATTTACTTTAAAAATTCCAACAACAACAACCTTGGAATACGCTCGGGCAGTATTCGACGAATCCCACCCCTCTCCCATGCCCACTCTGGGAATCATTCATTTATTAAGACTGCTTTATAGCGGTGAACGTCAAACAACAAAGTTCATGTTAAAAGTTAATTATTGATATTTATTTAATACATAGTTCAACCAATATAACTGAGGACTTAGTTACTATCCCAAATTACCTATTATTTTTGGGATTTTGGTTTATAAACCAATACAGATGTTAGATATCGCTTGTGATATAATTTACATACAATAAATGGAATTTGTCGTCATTAATTTCACGGATTTGAACACCAAACACGTGTTCGAACAAATGTGGCTTCGTATAATCTGAAATGCTTAACTTAAAGCTTAATTTAAAATCTAAATATATTTTTTATTTAATGGATAGACGTGAACGTGAATGTGTGAGTGGTCGCCGTCGGGCATGGTCATCAGCAATGCCATGGACAAAACCAAACTGCTGCGTAATACTTTTCTCTATTTACTTAAGCGTTAAAATTTATGGATATTTCGATTCCGGGATCTATCTACATACAAAAATTGTTCAAACAAAGAAAAAAAGTCAAATAAATATTTATTTCAAATAACAGTACAGTTATGGTATATACCAAACATTTCAGCAGTACAAGATACTTTACGTAGAGGTTCTCAAGGTTTCTGCACGTTTCTACTTTAAAGCTCTTATGTTATGATTCGAAGAAGGGTGATATACTTATTAATCAATCATCTAAATTAAGAATGGCTTTTATGCTTTTTGTTTATGTACTACTTTCAAAAAATAATACTGGATGTGAATTACCAGTTTAAAGATTTTTGTCGTTTACATTACGTTTACATTACATAACGGAAGAAATAAGTCCAGAATTTCATTGACAATATAGGCAAAACATTTTGACAGTATATTTACAAATTGTGCCACAAAAGTTTTTAATAAGTTGACTGGCCAAGAAACGCCTGACTCTCTTACTGATTTGCTTATAAGTTGCTTAATTTGATTTTTCCAGATTGAATTCTAGTTACTACTAACGGTATCGAGATTGGAATCACCTACTCCAACTCCTACTCCAAGCCCTACACCAAGTCCAGCTCCAACTCCTGCCCCCACTTCAGTTCCTGCTCCAACTCCCGCTCCAACTCCAGCTCCAACTCCAGCTCCAACTCCTGCACCGACGTCAACTCCCACTCCAACTCCTGCTCCAACACCAGCTCCAACACCAGCTCCAACTCCTGCTCCAACTCCTGCCCCAACTCCTGCCCCAACTCCTGCCCCAACTCCTGCCCCAACTCCTGCCCCAACTCCTGCACCAACTCCTGCACCAACTCCTGCTCCAACTCCTGCTCCAACTTCTTTACCATGTTCTTTACCAACTTCTTTACTATGTTCTTTACCAACTTCTTTACCAACTTCTGCACCTGTTCCAATTCCTGCTCCAAGGCCTGCCCCAAGGCCCGCACCAACTCCGGCTCCAAGGCCTGCACCAAGGCCCGCTCCAACTCCAGCCCCAACTCCTAATCCTGCTCCAATATCCACTCCTGCTCCAACTCCAACGCCAACTCCAGCTCCAACTCCAGCACCAACTCCTGTGCCACCACCCGATCCACCACCGGTTCCACCTCCTCCCTTGCTACCTCCACCTCCTGATCCAGCTCCACCTCCAGATCCACCGCCAACTCCTATTCCAGTTCCAGTTCCGCTCCCACCCCCAAGGCCTCCTCCAGCTCCACTTCCTAGTCCACTGCCAGCTCCACCTCCTAGTCCTCCACCAACTCCGACCCCCAGGCCCACTCCAGCTCCAACCCCCAAGCCCCCCCCAGGTCCACCCCCAACGCCACCGCCACCACCAGTTCCGAGACCTCCCCCAACTCCCCCTCCCAGCCCTGCTCCAACTCCAGCTCCTAATCCCAGTCCAAGACCTGCTCCAACTCCACCTCCTAGTCCCACTCCAATCCCAGGTCCTATTCCCCCAATACCACCACAATCGTATCCAGAACAGTATCCAATGTTTCCTCTGCAATTTTGAGTAGCCGTATAAATAAGCGCATTCACTAGTTTTATTATAATTTCTTCACTGAGTCCACCGTTAGCTGGGCCATCGTCAAGCGACTTTAGAATTTGTAACAGAGCACCCAGTTCCTCGATAGCTGAGCGGCACGACTCATATTCACATTGTACTGGTGCAGCAACCGTTGTTGTGGTCGCAGTGGGCACGTAAGCATATGTGCGAACTCGTCCCATATATTGCGCTTGTGATACCTGTCGGAAAAGCATTCTAATGAATTGTCTCAATCTAATCTATATATATATATATATATATATACTAGTGGTCGCTCGGTAGTCGAAATTCGACTATAATTTAATTGAAATTATAAGTTTGTACACTATTATGATTCTATTTTCAAATACGATTACTTCTATAATCACAAATTTCGCCAAGACTACACTATAGAAAAATATTAATAAAGACAAACAATATTTTATCTATTCTCAATTTGACCCACTGAAGTACCTATATTAGACTACAGACGTCAAGAACAAAAGGTTGACAATAAATAAATAGTATGCATGCGTGTGTGCGTCAAATGTGTGTAATGTTTTCTTAGTTGATTTAATGTATTTTTAATCCACAATTTAAAAAAAAAATATTAGCATTGTGCACTTCTTCTCTATATTCTCTATAAGTGTGGAAAATTTCATACTCCTCCGTCCGCGCAATTTTCGTAAAAAGGGATATAGTCCCCGGCACGTAGCTTGGCAAGAGTCGCTAGATGCGCAGAAGTCGTTTTTTAGGTCTCTTTGGTTGTCAAGCGGGACGCGGGGAAAGACGTAGCACCGTTCCGAGCGCGCGATTGGTGAGTAAGTCGACCCTCCCCCCGCACCGCGTCCACGTTCCGTTCGCTTCCGGTTACACATGCGCCTACTAAAGTTGTAGGAACCCTTTGTTTATATTGAGTTTTTGTTACGAGTTGTTATTATTGTTTTAAATTTAGTTTTTGTTACGAGTGTTATTGTTTTAAGTATGTTTGCAATGCTAGGACCAAATACCAATGACCATATAGTAGATTCAGTCACTGAGCGTTGTATTATTTACGCCAGTGACGACCGCGACTCTTCGTTATGTCGACGATGAGGAGCCAACTCCTTCCACCAGCTCAGGTGCTACCATAAATTTAATCCAAGGGGTAGCACTATTAGAAAATGATAGTGAAGACGGCGACACATAATTTTTAATATTAAGTATATTTTTTTAAATAAACTTCTTAACTTTTAATTGTATTTTATTTATAACATCTAATACACTTCACAAATTCCTCTATTTTCTTTAACTTTCTTCTAACACAGGCTTAAAAATAAATTAAGGCAAATAAAAAATTTTAGAAAATTAAATTATATTATATGCGGGCAATAAAAGTAACAATTTTTTTGTTGCAATGTACACTATGCGCGACATTACCCCCACTACACCAAAACCTTGCCAACTTACGTGCCGCTTACTATACAAAGTTTTTGCTTCACGTATTAATATATCTATATATATAAAAATGAATTGCTGTTCGTTAAGTCTCGCTAAAACTCGAGAATGGCTGGACCGATTTGGCTAATTTTGGTCTTGAATTATTTGCGGAAGTCCAGAGAAGGTTTATAAGGTAGATAAATATGAAAATGCTCGGAATTAAATAAAAATAACAATTTTATTTTCCCTTTGATGTGTCCTCCGTCGGACGGATTCCTTTTGTTTGTTTTATGTTTATTTTATTGCAAAGTTTAGGTCTTTTATTTATCGATTGAGGCACTACGAAGTCTGCCGGGTCAGCTAGTTATCAATAAAAAACTAGGCTTAAGCCTTAGCTTCACTCGCATTTAAAGTAAAACCATAATGTATTCGGCAAATATTAATTACCTATTAATATTACCTATTACAATTATTATTTTAAACAGATTTTTTTTAAATTAATTCAATTTTCATCTGTTCGGGTGTGTACGGGTCCGTAATTGTGTTTTGATAGTGCGACACCTTAAATTTAATAAAGTTCAATCCCTTATAAAAAAAAATATAACTCGTACTGCTATTGTGTGACTAAATAAAAAATAAACTAAAGTCCCTAACTCTAATTCTGAAAACATAAAAGTTTTTGAACTAGTCTACTTAATATTTAAAGAATTTTTTCAATTCAATAAATTTCGTTCAGTAGGTATATCAAATTTTCATTGCAAAAAAATTTATGTAAAAAAAAACAACTATTTGATTAAATTATCAACTCCAACAAGCTTTTTTGTTATTGCTCTTGTAGGCAGACGAGCATACAGCCCACCTAATGGTCAGTGGTTACCGTCGCCCATGGACTTCAGCAATGCCAGGAGCAGAGCCAAGCCGCTGCTTAAAAAGTATAAGGTTTTGCGAGAAGTATCATACTCACCCCGAATATCCAAGATATCACAAGTAAATACGTATGCGCAGGCACAGCCATATTATTCAAACTGAGCATAGCACTTTTTCATCATTTATATAGATTTCGGTTATTGCGCAGTATCATTGTTCAATTCCTACGTCACGTACACATATATATGTTTGTTTCGTAAATAGATTAATTGGTGGCTCAAGGCATCCTACTGATAGTTATGTTGCATTAACAGAAATAGTCACGTAAAAACGTTGATAAGGTCGCAAACGCTCAAGACCTAGTTTGTAACCTTCACAAAAATGTGTTATTCATTGGATGTAATCAAATTTAAAGGTACTAATGTAGGCACGAAAAATTTTAGACCGATAAACAAAGATATACATTAATTTAGTCGAATACGTCAAACTTCACAAAATACACCCTATAACAACAAGTGCAGTTTATAGCCACTGCTGCTTAAAGTTTAATATCTACCCCTCACCAAAGAGATACCTGAAAGATTATTGTGTGAAAACGACTACTCGGCAATTCTCTCAATCTACAATTCGTTTATGACAAAGTTGAATCGAATTGAAGGAAGAAATCAATATCAATAGATACTAAACAAACTTAACACAACACTGAAGTGCTTCCGCGCTAGAGTACCTACATTTAGGTATTGTTTTTTTTACTTAAGTAATTTTTTTAAAAACAAACAAACCAAAGACTTTCGAGTGACTTCAGCTTTTAAATTAGCACAGCATTGAGATACTAATTATGGTATAATGGTTTAAGATTCTGAGAGTTAATTTTATCTTTTAAAAAGACTTTGACGTCAACATTTATTTACACGACGAATAATTTCACTATAAAGAAAGTTTTTTTTTTTTTTGGTCAGGAGGTAATCGCCGGACTTCCGCCCTTTTCTGGGGAGACTGGGCGGGGTATGTCAGAGTCGAACTGACTAAAACCTCCTGTCGCTCAACAACCAACGTCCAAACCTCGCATGAGACAGAACTCATGACAAGGCAAAAGGGGGAAAGTGAAGCGTTTAGTGCGGAGCACGTCTCTCCCATCACCCTTCCCCTCGGGATGCCGGACCGGCGGTCGTCGGCGCCACGACCACCAGCCCTCTCGGTCGGCAGGCTAGCTGAAGTCCGCCTAGATGGCGCCGGTTAGAGTGTGCTACCCTACGGAATACCCCGCTGGGCCAGAAACAGCGTGGGTCGAGGATAGCCGGCCTTCCATCACCCGGATGCTCTTGCGTAAAACGCGTGCAGAGCAGCTTGCACGTCGTCTTCTCAGGCCCCCCTCGCCGGTCCCCAGACTGACATGTGAGGGGGACCCGAAACACTTAGAGGGCTTGGGCGAGATCCGCCTCCCTGGCTCCCGCTCGGCGGCGGCGGGATTGTGCATCTCTCACGCGCCCCGCCGCCTCCTTCTGCGAGATGGTACACTCGCAGAAGTCGAGCATCGTCTTCCACGACTCGTCGTCGCCGAGCATCGATGCCACAACACTCGGCAACAACAAGTCGTTTCCTATTTTTACAATTACGAGTTACGAGTTCCGTTGCGGTAGCAATGGCGCATAAACGACTAACAATATTATTGACGTGTACGGTGTGACTACTACAAACAAACGCAAGACTCGTTTATCGGTTTGAATACATCCGACATAAAATTTTGATCTAAAAAATGAACCCCGCGGTCGCTCGGAAACTAAAGTCAACAAAAACTAATTAAAGGCGATTACGGAAGCTGACGATACTCAAACTTTTTTTTCATTTTTTTTTGTTTAGATGGGTTGACGAGCTCACAGCCTACCTGGTGTTAAGTGGTTACTAGAGCCCATAGACATCTACAACATAAATGCAACACCCACCTTGAAATATAAGTTCTAAGGTCTCAGTATAGTTACAATGACTGCCCCACCCTTCAAACCGTGCGTAATGCGTTTCGCATTACTGCTTCACTGCAGGAATAGGCGTGGTGGTGGTACCTACCCGCGCGGACTCACAAGAGGTCCTACCACCAGTAAGAGTCGAGTGCCACGCATTCACTCTCTCTTTCTCTCTCTCTCTCTCTCTCTCTCTCTCTCTCTCTGTCTCTTTCTATTCCATGGTAACGTTAAACGTATGCGTTTATAACGCAACCTTGTTGGCTTGTTGGAAGTCGCATATTAAAAGTTTCACTTCAAAAAAATCTCGACCAACTTGATTTATTATATTTTCGGATAATTAAAAACTAGGCAATCCTTTGCAATACAATCTAAGTCTAGTACTTATATTATTGAAGAGTCTCTTGTTTTTCTTGTAAATCCTCACTAATACAGTATGGACACAGGCCCTAAGCTTAGACGACAGATGAATCCAAGATACAGAGCAAATTGGTTTTCAATTCTAACTTTTGGGTAAAACTTACCAATTATTGAATAATAGTTACTATAAATATTCAAACCATAATATTAAAGTGTTCGTTCTGTGCAGATGGACGTTGGAAACTTTTAAATTTGGCTACAGTCGCGACATAAAAGACAGTGATCTATATGCCCCTCTACCTGAACATCGATCACATGATCTAGGTGAGAAATAAACATTCGGTTATGTTGAATGATTTATATGAATGGTTACATCATATGGAAGTAAACTATCATCAATAGAGACGAAGCCAGACTAAGAAAACCATATTGAATAAATTTTAGGATGATGACCCCTCTAATTATTTAATTGCATTTTTATATTTCGTAAAACTCTAGGAAACTCTGTTGAAAAGGCTTGGGAAAGAGAAGTGGAGATAGCCCGAACTCGTGAAAAAAATGCTAAACCTAGTCTTTGGCTCGTTATCTTCAAGGTGTTCGGATCTGAATTTATGTTGTACGGTCTAATACTTGCCGCAATGGAATTCTTGATAAGGTTATTATTTTGAGACTTGATTCAGTAATTATGAAGTATTTCATGTTGTGTTTTGTAACCTTTATAAATAAGTCATTTCATAATAAATATTTTCTTACTAAAGATTACAACAACCTCTGTTTCTGGGATTGTTACTACGTTACTACAGTCCGATTCAAGACGCGAACATTGGTAATCTCACGTTAGTATTTAATTCAAAACACCAAAAATATTTTACAAATGAATTTCATTTTAACCTAACCGTTAACATTTGCTTCGTGTCACAGGATGAGTTCAACGTATTTATCCCGTCTTTTTAACTATTACGAGATAGATAGCAGTGTAACTTGGGGAGAGGCGGTTTTCTTTGCTTTTGGTATTGTTTTCTGTAGTACATTGAACGTGATGGTACAACACCCTATTATGATGAGTATTATGCATTTGGGCATGAAAATAAGAGTAGGCATGTGCAGCCTCATATACAGAAAAGCATTAAAAGTTAGCTTGCAAGTTATATCTGAAAACAGCGCTGGTTTGGTCGTAAATTTAATGGCAAATGATGTCAATCGATTTGATTCGGGACCGATTTTCGCACATTATCTTTGGATTGGACCTTTGGAGACGTTGGTAAGCGTGAAATTTGCTAAATAATCGAATTCACAATGAAACGTGCATTGCTATTTAAAAAAATTGTTTGTTTTTAGTTAATGACTGTGTATCTGTATCGCGAAATGGGATTGCCCGCAATATATGGCTCGCTAGTACTCATCGTTGCCATTCCATTTCAGAGTTCGTATAGTTTTAAATTGATTATTATATAGATTTTAATTAAAACCATTAAGTAATACATCTTTAGTAATAAACGGCAATTGTGTTTAGTATTCCTTGGATGTCAAACGGCGTATTATCGAAAAGCAACCGCAGTGACGAGCGACGAACGTGTAAATTTAATGAAAGAAATTATAATAGGTATAGAAGTGATCAAGATGTACACTTGGGAAAAACCATTCCAACGTATAATAGATATTGTTAGACGGTATGATATATTTTGGGTATATCTGATACCTGAATTTATGTTGTTAATTATTGCCTTAAATGGGTCGACTAGATCAAGGTGCATATGGTGTTAAGTGATTAGTGGTGGTAAGATGAAATTGATATCTCATTGGTAATGTTCTTATCGACATATCCGTTTAGCCGAAAAATTTCCCTATAAAATTAAAAAGAAGTTAGAGATAAGCATGTGAACACCATGCTTTTGTTTTGGATCACGGAATGTTGTAACAATTTTTTTTGTTCGGGCCGGGGCCCGAGCTTCCTACAAAGTCCACGCGCCTAAGGGGCGCGCGGGGTATGTGAGACTCAACGATCTGCAGGTGTTGAGAGCAGACCGCGGGCCCAAGGAATTTTAGGGCCCACCCACTAAACGACCTCCCTGCACTGTTACACCCGACGTCCGATCTCCGTCCGGGGTCAAAACCCGGTCAGAGTAGGGGGTTCTCGCGGTCAACAATACAACCAGACACGCGGCGCCACCCCGAGGACGCCCAACCGACGGGTCGTCAAGGCGATAGTCTACGACCAACGACGTCGTTTTCCGCGTGATGTTGTAACTATAACCCAACTAAAATACTTAATTTCTTGTATATTTCAATGTAATAGAGCCATTTTTAACAAAATACATTCGACTGACTCGATGGTGCAGTAGTTAGCGGATCTAACGTGGATCGTGGGTTTGATTCCCTCATCGGGCAAACATTCGTGTGAGAAACATGTTTGTTAGCTCTTTATTATCTATATATAATTTATGAGTACCTATATTTTAAACGTCTATTACATGTATGCATGTCAGTCTCTGGTACCCCTAACACAGATAATCCTAATTTGGAGCCGGATGACCGTGCGTGATTTATTCTCAGTTATTTATTATTTACGATCGATACGATATTTACGATAATTTATATTATGATCTTTTAGGCACGAAATTCACTACATCAAGATGACATCGTACATTCGTGGAGTGATAATGTCTTTTATAATGTTCATCTCCCGTTTTGCAATATTCTTCACTGTTTTGCTCTACGTGACGTTTGTCGGTCAAATAACCGTTGAAAATGTTTTTTTCCTAACAAGCTATTACAACATCACTAAGCAAACGATGTGTTTGTATTTCCCTCAAGCAATAGGCCAGGTAAGCTATAAATCGTCAAACTGTTACTATTGATAATTATTAGGACATCTGAATTGTACAATTTTATAACATCTGGAAAATTCTTTTTTTTTTTGTTCCTACCTAAGCTGATAGCCTTGATAGGCTATTTCAGCGTAACCTTAACTAGTAGGTGAGCTCACGGGGCTGAAGCCGGAGTGATGCTAACACTGACCCTAGCAAGAGCAGTGCTTCGCAGAATCTACCACCCGATCGGAAACACGACCCACTGAGAAGATCCGGTGAGAAACTCAGTGGGCTGTGTCTATGGGTTAATTCGCTCGTCGAGCCCTTCTTCGCAAGCGACGGGTTCGACGAGGACGGTGACCGGAAAAGGGTATCTAAAAATTCTTAATACCTGCGTATCTGTAAAGACACTTCGCACAGATTCACTAATTCTATGTTTAGATTGGATTAAAATGTATCAAAGAAGGCCTCGTTTTGATAAGGCTCGATTTTTTTGATTGATTTGTTTTCTTGCACAAAATTCGTTTAATATTACGGTTTTACATAACAATAAAACCGATATTATGTGCCGAGAAGGAAAACATACAGCATTGTATTATGAAGAAGCAGTGTGTACTTAGCTTAGATTCCTTGTCTATGTCCAACCATAGACAGTCAATTTAGTTCCATCTTTAGCCGCTAGGTGCTGCCAGCAAGTATAAAGGGAGCGCAGCCATCTTTGANTGTGGACTTGCGACTTCACAGTACGAAAGTACACAACGCTATGAAGATCAAAGATGGCTGCGCTCCCTTTATACTTGCTGGCAGCACCTAGCGGCTAAAGATGGAACTAAATTGACTGTCTATGGTTGGACATAGACAAGGAATCTAAGCTAAGTACACACTGCTTCTTCATAATACAATGCTGTATGTTTTCCAGAGGCACATCAATAATTGAATATAATTGAATAATTACTAAAATATATTTTAAGATCGCTGAAATGAACGTGGCTGTTCAAAGAATCAGAGATTATCTTATAAGCGAGGAATGTCAAATTCAACCTAGAATTACATCTGAGGATAAATCACAAAAAGAAAGTACCAGAAAACGAGTCAGGGTTGACGGTATGTTTGATATGCAATATAATAATGTTGTATTATTAGTCTAAACGGTTGACAGTCCGAATAGGGAATCGTATTAAGAAGTTCCCTAATTCCGCTGACACGACAAAGCTTGAGTCGCCGCTCATCAATAAAAAGGAGATCGAAATTTCGTTGGCAAAACTGCTATCCTACTCTTCAAACCGCCACGCTTATTAGCTTCCCAGCGGTTATAAGCAGTTATAACAAAACCATCTGGTCACCGTCCTCGTCGAATCCGTCGCTTGCGACGAAGGGCTCGGCGAGTGAATTAACCCATAGACACAGCCCACTGAGTTTCTCGCCGGATCTTCTCAGTGGGCCGCGTTTCCGATCCGGTGGTAGTTTCTGCGAAGCACTGCTCCTGCTAGGGCCAGTGTTAGCAACACTTCCGGTTTGAGCCCCGTGAGCTCACCTACATGTTAGGGTGAAGCTGAAATAGCCTCATATAATAGCCTCATCAGCATAGGCAGAAAAAAAAAGCAAAGCCGTAGCTCGAAAACCGACATAGTTCGAAATAAGAATTAGGTATGCGAAAGGAAAACTGAGATTGGCTCCAACATATTTAGTTAGCATTGAAAGAAAATGTTAGGATCGCTTCCTTGATATTTACACTTACAAGTCTGTAATGTTACAAGCGGCTAACCTTTCTCCAATTGTTGGCGAATTCGACAATGGTGGGTTCTTGTTGTAGTTGAGATATATTCTTGAAAAGATTATTAAGATAAAAACTGACGATTAGCCGATGATATATCTGTCTTGTTTTGTGTTTTCTGTTTTGTTTCTTTTGATTGATGATGAGATGAAAAGCTATTTGTAATGACTACAAATTACCTTATAATAATTATAAAAGCGAACAAATTCAAATTTTATTGATAAACCAAAGAACTGGATAGATCATAGACCTTTTGATTTCTTGTCTAAGACCTAAACGCGATATGGAAAAATTAGGTTAAAAAATAAAATTCCGGAATGAAGTAATATTAATAGTAATTATATGAAATATAGTTGTAATACTGATTGTGTCTATACTCGTACATAAATGGGCAAATGAGTCGTCTATTATCAAAGGTGGCAATCTGTGCATTTGGACAAAAAAATGTTATTGATATGTCAATACGTTCGTTTTTCTGATTTACCAATAATTGTCCAAAAGTCACATTGCCGGCTTTGATAATAGTCGACTCAAATACAAAACGGTTTTATTCGCTGTTTGTCAACCGATTTTATTATTTTCGTTTAGTGCCTAATAAATTGAATCCAAGATGATCGAATTTCGACTCCTAAACGAAAATTAGTGGTATATCCTCGAGGAGGACGGAATCGTATTCCCGTATTTCCTAATACTAAATAAGCATAATAGAAGTATTATAAAATAAAAAAATATTATCAAAATACATATTATCGTTTGTCTTTAGTTAAGGAAAAAAAACCACAGCTTCATAGCTCTGTTAGTCAGTCCGATGCCGGTACTTCGCAAACCAAAACAAGAGACAAAAATAAAGGTAGGTAATTCTTATTTATTACACAATAATAATAATAATAATATAACTCTTTATTTAACACCATATTATGTACAGAGTAAAATAATAAAACAAATAAAAGTCGGTGATATAAATTGGCGGCCTTATTGCTAAAAGCGATCTCTTCCAGGCAACCTTGCAGGAAGAGGAATAAGTGAACTGGACGGTGCTATATCTTAATAAACTTACATAAAAATATATAATTACATATATACACATTTGAAAAATAAATACCATATAAGATAAACTTACATACGATTAAATACAAATAAATACTAAAAATATACAAGATAAAATACAAAAGAAGTAGAAACTTATACAGTTATATTATTTGCATGTAAAATGCAACCACCCTCTAATGTGATTATGTAATATTTCTAAGTAGTATATACATAGTAGCATGAATAAGATCAACGTTAAGTAGAATATTCATTTTTTATTTAAATGTAGATACAATTTTCCAAATAATTAATTCAACAATTTTGTCAAAGAAACATTTAAACAAATTGCTGTTCAGTTTGATGAAGCTGGTACGAAATGGATAAATTCGGATAAAAAAGGAGACGTAGAAAATTTAAATTTGACTGTTAGTTGAATGAATTGATAGATTATTGTAACATGCTTAACTACTGCTTCCATTATTAACTATAATAATATCTAATATTCTTATAGATTTATTCTGAAACAATGGCCATTGTAGTTGGATCAGTAGGTTCTGGTAAATCAACTTTACTACATTTGATTCTTAAAGAACTGCCATGCACTACAGGTAGTGTCGAAGTGAACGGAATTGTTAGCTACGCCAGTCAAAACCCATGGCTATTCGTAGGTAAAATTAAACAAAAATCCTTATTATCGCAAATTATTGTAATAGCTTGAGTATTATTTTAAACATCTTTATTTATGTAGGCTCCGTGAGACAAAATATTCTGTTTGGACAGCCTTATAAAAAGGCTAGATATGTGGAAGTGTGCAAGGTATGCGCTCTCGAAAGGGATATTTCTTTGTTTCCGCACGGAGATAAAACGGTCGTTGGAGAACGTGGACTATCATTAAGTGGAGGACAACGTGCCCGTATCAATTTAGCAAGAGCTGTATACAAAGAAGTAGGTATTGATTTATTGTTAACGTATAAACATTACTTATTTATATTCGTCATAATGATTATCTTCGAACTTATTATTATTAGTTACTAGAATGCATGAACAATGTAGATTATTCTAATATTTTGCACTTAGGCAGATATTTATTTGTTGGACGATCCACTGTCGGCTGTTGATACACATGTTGCAAAGCACATTTTCGAAGAATGCATAAAAAGGTATATAATAATCTTGATCTGTTATCATTTGCATATTACAATATGCTAACCAAAAAATTGTCACCAGATTCCTGTCAAACAAAACCGTCCTCTTAGTTACGCATCAACTACAGTTCATTAAATCAATGGATCAAGTCATCATTATGGACAAAGGAAAAATAATCGCGGAAGGTGGCTTTGAGGGCTTAAGCGTAATTGCTCCCAAATATCTATACATCTATACATATAAATAAAATTAGAGTGTCTGTTTGTAATATTGAAATAACCGCTTTTACTACATCCGTATGAATATATATACGGTACATACACCAAAATATATTTTTTTACAATTTTTGTCTGTCAGTCTGTTTGTTCCGGCTAATCTCTGGAACGGCTGGACCGATTTTGATGAGACTTTCAAAAATAGGTAGCTGATGATATAAGGAGTAACTTCGGCTACTTTTTTAGATTAGCTTCGCCCCGCGGCGTCACCTGCAGTTATCGTCGTACCGCGCGCAACATGGCGGGACTCGCCTATCAATAATAAAATTTAATGTTTCCGAAGCGAAGCGCGGGCGGTTCGCTAGTCTACAATACGAATACGATGTGGACATAAAATTGGGTCTGAAATGTTAATTTTCTTCTATATTGTTTTAGGACAGAGAACTAAAGATACTAGAATTTATACAAGAGAACGCAAAAGAAACGCATGAAGACGAAAGCGCCCCAGCTTTACAAGGAAGCTCGATTCAACCGAGCACAATCAGTTTACACGGCAGACATTACTCTGTACTGATCGATACAAGCCTTATTGTAAGGTTATCCCTATAATCCTACTCACATTTTAATTGAATATGCAATTTCGAAAAGGGCACATCTCTGAAAATGTAAAATGTTCAGGAAATGAAAAAAACTGATTATTTTCTAAAGCAGTGTAAAATTTAAAATATTAACTTTTGAGATACATTTTAGTGTTAATTAGCAATTAAAAATTACTGGAATTATTATAAAATGGGTGTAGGTAAGCTCAAAATTATATGTATATTATGAAAAAACGTATTTGACAAAATATGCGACATGCGCCCTTTTCGAAATTGCATATTCAATTATTAATAAAAGAACAAATTAAAATGCAAATTTTAGGATCAAAAACCTGAGAGCGAATCACAAACAATAGGCCGAGTCAAGGGTTCGGTGTACCGTGACTATTTCCTCTCTGGCGCATCGTGTCCATGCGTTGCGATCGTCTGTGTCATGTTCTTTCTGGCACAGTTCTGTGCTAGCGCATGCGACTATTGGATCAGCCGATGGTATTCGAATTACAATTGCTATTGATTAATTATAAATTACGATTTATCGTATGCGTGACGTCATTAACAGGAGCGCCGTCGAGGACAGACTTACGGGTGATGCAACCATGGATATTGCTATATGGGACGAACAGCGACTGGTCCGAAACGATTTCGTGATCATATTTGCAGTGATTACGACAGCAACTATTGTTGTCGCTTTAATAAGAGCCTTCCTGTTCTTCTCTTTGTGCATGAAATCTTCTATCCGGTAAAAATTTGAACAAATCTTATGTTATTTTATATTTTATACCTTTAAACGAGCAATTCTTGTATATAATATATAATCTGAATCTGGGAAACGGCTCCAACGACTTTCATAAAATTTAGTATACAGAGGATTTCGGGGGCGATAAATCGATCTAGCTACGATTTATTTTCAGAAAATGTTGTTTTATTCGTTTTTTCAATAATCAACTCTTCCCGACATATATTGGCGAATAATAATACTATTTTTCTTAATTGAGGCAACTAACCAAGATGGCGTTATCAAAAAAAAACCGAGCAATGCTCGGTCATCATCTAATTGATACTTAATCACCCAAAATCGTCAACGATTTGTGTGAGTGTGTTTTAGCACTAACTCTTGTTATTAAACTATTTGCAGGCTACACGACAACATGTTTGAGTCCATATCTAGATCACCGATGAACTTCTTCCACAGTAACCCGTCTGGAAGGGTATTAAATAGATTTAGCAAAGACATGGGTGCCATTGATGAATTATTACCTCAAGCAATGATAGATTGTTTTCAGGTAAGTAACAAACAGTTTTTTTATTGAAGTATAGAGACAGAAGAGTGACATCCGCCGGCTTGGAACGGTAACCAGAGCTCAAAATTAAATGTTGATTCTATTGCTCATCTTGAATTGAGATAATTTTGAATTTCGCTGTTTTTATTTTTTTTACTTAAACTGTACCATTATATTAGAAGTGATGTTTTGTAACATGGGTTTGTAGCAGGATACTCTACTGCAAACGTCCTATTCTCGTAACTTCGAGTACAACCGGACTTATTAGGCTATTAACGCTTGAAGTATTCTTTATAAAATATACACAGAGTGTTCCAATTTAAATATCACCCCAATAATTACTTAGTCTGGCCATAAATACTGTTACAATTAAAAATAAACAAAATATTACATTTGAATTTGGAATCTGTCATTTTTATATGATTGCTCATTGAGTTTTCTCATTTTGGCGCCAATACATTGTACAATATTTTGCGATATTAAAATGGAGTGGGGTGATAAAGAGAACCGAATCGCTGTGATTGCATTACACAAAGTAGGTATGGAGCCGAGTGCAATTTTTAAAACTCTCCATACGCTTGGTATTAGTAAACTGTTTGTGTACCGGGCTATTAATAGGTGCAATGAGGCCTCCTGTGTTTGTGACAGAAAAAGATCTGGCCGTCCACGTAGTGTTCGTACGAAAAAGGTGGTCAAATCAGTAAGGGAAAGAATTCGAAGAAATCCTGTCCGAAAGCAAAAGATTTTATCTCGGGAGATGAAGATAGCACCTAGAACCATGTCGCGTATTTTAAAAGATGACTTAGGACTTGCAGCCTATAAAAGACGTACTGGTCATTTCTTAACTGCTAATTTAAAAGAGAATAGGGTGGTAAAATCGAAACAACTACTGAAGCTGTATGCAAAGGGAGGTCATAGAAAATTTTTGTTTACGGATGAGAAAATTTTTACAATTGAGCAACATTTTAACAAACAAAAAGACCGTATTTATGCTCAAAGCTCTAAGGAAGCTTCCCAATTAGTCGACAGAGTGCAACGTGGGCACTATCCGACTTCAGTGATGGTTTGGTGGGGTATTAGATATGAAGGAGTGACTGGGCCATACTTTTGTGAAAAAGGTATCAAAACATGGGCACAAGTGTATCAAGATACCATTCTTGGGAAGGCAGTGAAGCTCTTTAACAACACCATGTTCAATAATCAAGAATGGTCCTTCCAGCAAGACTCGGCGCCAGGTCATAAAGCTCGGTCTACGCAGTCTTGGTTGGAAACGAACGTTTCGGACTTCATCAGAGCTGAAGACTGGCCGTCGTCTAGTCCCGATCTTAATCCGCTAGATTATGATTTATGGTCAGGTTTAGAGAGTACGGCCTGCTCTAAACGCCATGATAATTTGGAGTCCCTAAAACAATCCGTACGATTGGCAGTGAAAAATTTTCCCATGGAAATAGTGCGTGCTTCTATTAATAACTGGCCTCAACGTTTAAAGGACTGTATTGCAGCCAATGGAGACCACTTCGAATAAGCTTTTTATACTTTAAATTGTTTTATATTTATGTATTAAACTAACACACTGTAAAAGTAACACATAAATGTTATTTGCAATATAATTTTTTTTTTCTTTGTCTCAGTATTTATGGCAAGACTAGGTATATTAATTTAAAAAAGATCTCCCTAAGAGTAACCGATGTCTATATTTCAGATTATGTTGAATCTGGTTGGAGTTATAACTGTCATACTATTAATAGACATAGCCTTATTAATACCGATAGTGTCAGCTCTGATAATATTCTATATATTGCGTGTAATTTACATTCGCACCACGGGCGCAGTGAAACGTCTAGAAGGAATAAGTATGTATATTAGATTTTTTTGTTATTGCTTAGATGGGTGGACGAGCTCACAGCCCACCTGGTGTTAAGTGGTTACTGGAGCCCATAGACATCTACAATGTAAATGCGCCACCACTAAGATCTCAGTATAGTTAGTTACAACGTCTGCCCCACCCTTCAAGCCGAAACGCATTACTGCTTCACGACAGAAATAAGCGAGGCGGTGGTATCTACTCGTGCACAAGACTCACAAGAAGTCCTACCACCAGTAATCACAAGAGGTTCTACCACCAGTAAGTGGGTTTGTCTAAATGTTATTTTATTTCTGTCTAGCTCGCAGTCCTGTGTTCAGTCATGTTAATGCGACCGTGTTAGGATTGGCAACGGTACGTTCGTTCGACGCTGAATTCCTATTGGCTCAGGAGTTTGATCGGCATCAAGACCTCCACAGTGGGGCCTGGTACCTCTTCATATCATGCAGCAGAGCCTTTGGATATTTCCTAGACGTCATCTGTTTGATGTTTATAATATGCGTAACCTTTAGTTGTTTGATGAAAACTGGTCAGTACTAATCGAAAGTGGTATATTTTATTACGTTAGATCTTTTGCGAATTAAGAAAATCTTCAAATTTTAATAGACAGTAACACCTTTGATAAAATATAATATTCGTGTTGAACTAGTATCAAGTTTTGTAGAATATACGTGGAAATTCGTTGAACTTTGTTAAAGTGGAAAAACTACTACAGGTAACTAATTAATCAGATGAGAATTAAATTGTGAACATATTATTATTGCTAAGATAGACGAGCTTACGGCCTATCTGTTATTATGTGACTACCAGAGGCAATAAGCATGAACCACGTTAATGTCGCTGCTTATCTTGAGACACGAGCTCTAAGCCTCAGTTTTATAGTTCAACGACTGCCGGACCCTTCGAACCGAAACGCATTACTGCATCACCGCAGAAATACTATCAGTACTATCATCGACCCGTGTGGCCTTACAAGACGTGTTACCGCCAGTAAAACCACTACTGGTTTAGTTCTGAACCACCGAATCAAGAAGTCCAAAATAAAATAATAAACACATCTGTTTTCCCCACTAGAATTTGAAGGCAGCAGTATTGGTTTGGCCATAACCCAATGTATTTCTTTGACTGGAATTTTTCAATGGGGCATGCGGCAATCGGCCGAAATGGAAAATCAAATGACGAGCGTTGAGAGAGTACTTGAATACACGAAACTACCAAGAGAAGCTGCACTGAAAAGCGTAAACCGTTTTAAAATAGTTAACGCTATGAATAACCGAAGTCCATATTTGCTCATTTCAATTTAATCTCTTCCGGTATACATTTACCTACCCGTAATTATGAATGGTTATTACGAAATGTTACTGGTTCTCTCTGGGCAGTATGCTTCAGAAGTTAACTTCGAATCTTACTGCCAATGTATCAGTGACTGAATATCGGAAAAGTAGGTACTATTATTTATCACTGAACTGGTCCTAACATAAGCTTTTTGCTAGAGTTTTCTTGGGAATTATTTTAAGGGCTGTCTACATGGCCTAAACAACAAATCGTCCAGTATTAATTGATTAGGCTATCCAGAAGATACCTAAATTTCAAATAGTATCTTTAATTTCAATAAGTAATACGTGTTAATCTAAAAGTTTGTTCATATAAATGTTTAAATTAAGTCACGATGGATTTTCTCGATAAATTATTACACCGTGCAATAAAAATGTAACAAAATGTATGAATCATCTAAATTCGTTGTAGCAGTGTCTATTCTGAACTGGAATGCTGCTGTATCTGCCCCAGAAAAGTCATTCCAGTTTGAATGGTACCTCCGAACATGCTGCCAGATTTTGAGCCGCGATAAAATCGCAGAATTCGATACTAATTCACGGGGTGTTGTTATTTACGAAGCCACAACCACATTAAAAGACTGCGAAGCTACTGCTATAAGTATTCTTTAATTCATAGGAACCCAATAAGAAACCGCCTCCAGACTGGCCTTCACAGGGACGCATAGATTTTGAAGACCTGAGTCTCAAATATAGTCCTGACGGAAATCTTGTTTTGCACAACCTGCAATTCAGCATTCTGCCAAAAGAAAAGGTAACATCTGCTTTATATTCAATATATACACAGATATGTTAAGTCGATATATGTATGTCTTCGATGATGTCCCCTATAGATTCAGAAAAGGCTGGTACGATTTCGATGTAATTTTCAAGAAATCTTCAGATTGGCCTAGCGGGTTAACCTGGACGATCGGTCCAAAGTCAAACCTAAAATAAAAATCCATAATTGTCAAAGATATCTTAGGTATCAGGCACAGCTTTGTTTTAAAAGTAGGTTTTTTGTTAGTGGAAATACCTTTGCATTGTGAGCCCTATTCGAACAAGAACTACCGTCCGACATATTTCTGCCGTAAAAAACTCATACGTCATAAAATTCAGTCTTTTACCTCATTTCTGTAAGTGACATATAATTAGTGATGTCTATGAGTTTCGGTAACTTATCACCACATTAAAGCGTTAGACCTCTGAGTTAGATTAAAACATTATAGCGGTTGCTTCTATTATCTAGGTGGGAATTGTTGGAAGGACAGGTGCTGGAAAGTCTTCAGTTATAGCTGCCCTATTCCGGTTGGCGTATTTGGAAGGTGCAATTATAATCGACGGAATCGATATTACAAATATCGGACTGCACGATTTAAGGGAAAAAATATCGATAATTCCACAAGTAAAAAGCAACAATTTAATTGTGTGTGTTTTTAGATCAAAACCACAAAGACGGGTCCTGTGTGTGACAAAAATCAATTTTATTTAAATTCGTGTCATTTTTTATTTCTTTTTCTCGATATCTGAGAATGGAACATTTAGTTATTTTAAGAAATATTATCCTAAAAGACAATGCCCATTTTCTATGGGCGTTTGGGCCCCTAAAAAAAGTTGTCGTGTCATGATGGTTTTAACTTAATTGATAGACAAAGAAATATCGTTTCATATTCAGAAAACGATTTTTATATTCTCATCCAGGTTTAAGAGAAATCAATTTTTTTCTGCAGATAAAATTAAGTTGTTAATTGTTTTCTTCCAAATCAATAATCGCTATAGTGTTAAATAAGTTAATTGTAGTTAATTTTGCTAGAAATAAGCCCCTTATGTACATTTTATTATTATTATTATATCCTCATAATAATAATAAAATGAAAGTGGTTTTTGAGAATGGATTTCATTGACCCTTCTTTTGGAAATGAAAATCATTAATGTCTAAAAATATTAAATAATTCATGGTTTTAAGTAATAATAATAATTATTATTATTATAAATATTGAACTGAACAAAAATAAACTAAAAAAAGTCTGAATTATAACCAATAGCTATTTTTTTTTTATTTGTTCTTCAAGTGACAGACAATTCTTTCGTTTGGCAGCATTTAGGTTTACTATAAGGCTGTATGGGCTAAGAGCTAGGGTGAAATAAATGTTGATATAGTAACCGGCAAACTTCTTGAGCAAATGACCTTGACTGCGCAGAACCGAATTTTAGATCACTTTGGTGGTGAGGGTGAGGCGCGACGGCAGGGGAAACCGTATCGAGCGCGTTATTGGTAGATCAGTCGAACCTTGCGTCCCGCACCGCACCCTCGTTCCGCTTGCTCCCAAAAGTACGCTTGCGTACAGTGAAAAGTCTATCATTATTAATCGTTAAGTTATTTGTTATAATTGCTTGTTGACTTTGTTGCCATTGCTATTTGTTGAATGTTTGTTGATTTTTTATAAAAAATACACTATGCAGTGACAAACTGGTGTAGTATTAGACTCATCACGATGATAGCGACTCGGGTAATGAAAACAGTGATGATGATGATGGTCAAGATTACGATAACGAAAAAAAAATTACAAATACCAGCTTCGCTTCAACTGAACCAAGACCTGGCAACAGCTCTAGTTTTGACTTAATAGAAGGAATATCTATTTTACCCCAAGATTAAATTATTACAATTATTAACCTATATTTTTTGTTGATGTTCTAATAAATATATAAATAAATACATATGTTGATTTTAATAATTTAATTGCATTATGACGCAGAGTAAATAATGTTTTTGCACGTGAGTGTACCATGCGCGAACTTACCCCCACTACGTCAACAAATGCTCAAGAAGTTTGCCGGCTATTATACATAAAATAAACAATGTGAAAAATAAAGCATAGTTTTTCAAGTACAAATAGTTTTGACACAAAGTTGGGCCACCCACTTTTGGGCATTGTCCTTTAATGGCATAGACATCACAGATAAAATTGGATGGATTGGACCACCCTGCCTATGTCTACGGCGAAGGACTAATACACTCCGGCTTAAATGGGACATCCGTTGTACTATACAGCTTAGATCTCATGTCTCCAGATTCGTGGTGACATCCACTTAGTGATGTGTATGAGTTCATATAACCAGGTAGGCCGTTACCTCGTTCTAGGCAATAAACAAATTTCGACATAGAACTGATTTCATGTATGTAAATCTTGAAACGATACTAATTCTGCCTTCGTGTTTGTTAATTTAAGGAGCCGGTTCTGTTTAGTGGAACAATGAGGAAAAATTTGGATCCTTTTGATGAGTATTCGGACGAGGTCTTGATAAATGCACTGAAAAGTGTAGAGTTGCAAGGCGAAGGAGAGAGCGTCGGTCAGTGACGTTGTTTTTAATACGCTTTTATTAGCTTCAGACTTATGTACGTTAGTATGTACCGGAATCTTTGAACATGATTTTGATCCCCTTCAAAACGTCGGATTAATTTGAAATTTGGTATGCTTATTAAGGACCGATGACAATTCAATATTTAAAAAAAAGTTGAAAAAATTGAAATTCCACTAAAAAATGAAAAATTAATAATAGTTTTAAAAAACTAATAAAATACGCTTTTACAGAAAATCCAACTAAAAAATATAAAATAAATTTTAATAAATTTGAATTAAAAATAGTGTAAGAAAAAATAATTTTATTGTAAAAAAAAGCGTGGAGTGCATGATATAATAGTTATAAACATTTTATGAACAGATATGAGTAGAAGGGTTATTTTGATAATATCCTGAAAAGCACCGCACGCTTTTTAGCTGTAGTCTATTTTTTAGTTGGATTTTCTGTAAAAGCGTATTTTGTTAGTTTTTTAAACTATTTTTTTTATCGAACTTCGAATCCGCTTTTTTATGTACCTCACGTGATGACATTTATCTGGGTTCCCGTAACCACTGAGCCATGACATTGTTCAATTGTTACTACGTTTTCTCAAAATACCTATATAGGATTTCTCTCATTGATGATAGAATCAACCGTCAAATCAATAATCAATCCTGTGCCCACACAGGTGTACTTTACAAAGACGTGTCTGAAGGTGGATCAAACTTCAGTGTGGGAGAACGCCAACTCGTATGTTTAGCGAGAGCCATCGTCCACAACGACCGAATTTTAGTACTGGACGAGGCGACCGCTAATGTCGATGCTCAAACAGACTCCTTGATTCAAAACACCATAAGGGAACACTTCAAAGAATGCACTGTGCTTACCATTGCGCACAGATTGAACACTGTTATAGATTCTAACAAGGTAAGTCAGCAGGTAGCAGCATTTTAGTTGTGCCCCTGGTTTAACTGGTGGTAGGACCTCTTGTGAGTCCGCACGGGTAGGTACCACCGCCCCGCTTATTTCTGCCGTGAAGCAGTAATGCGTTTCGGTTTGAAGGGTGGGGCAGCCGTTGTAACTATACTGAGACCTTAGAACTCATGTCTCAGGGTGGGTGGCGGCATTTGCGTTGTAGATGTCTATGGGCTCCAGTAACCACTTTACACCAGGTGGGCTGTGAGCTCGTCCTTCATTTTAGAAACACAATCGAACCGCTCGCTCCGTCATATATTATTGTTATAATAAAATGCATTGTTCGATGTAGATTTTGGTGCTAGACGCGGGTCGTCTGGTAGAGTTCGACCATCCTCATATACTTCTGCAAAACAAGAGAGGGCAATTTCGTAAAATGGTGCAGGAAACAGGCCCGTCGATGTCGAATTTACTCCACAAACTAGCCTCTCAGGTACATATCGCTAGCTGACCCGGCAGACTTTGTACTGCCTCAATTGATAAATAAAAGACCTAAACTTTTGTATAAAATAAACTTATAAAAAACAAAAGGAATCCGTCCAACAGGAGACACATCAAAGGAAAAACAAAATTGTTTGTTTTTATATAATTCCGAGCATTTTCATATTTATTCACCTTTTAAACATTTTGTGGACTTCCACGAATAAATTAAGACCAAAATTAGACAAATCAGTCCAGCCGTTCTCGAGTTTTAGCGAGACTAACGAACAGCAATTCATTTTTATATATATAGATGACAATCGTGCTAAAAATTTGTTAATTCATCACTACATAGTATAAAACAAAGTCGCTTTCTCTGTCCCTATGTATGCTTAAATCTTTAAAACTACGCAACGGATTTTGATGCGTTGTTTTTTAATAGACAGAGTGATTGAAGAGGGAGGTTTATATGTATAATAACATCCATTAAATAGTGGAGAAATCAATAATAAATTACAGTTTCCGAAGCGAAGCGAGGCCGGGTCGCTAGTTTATTATATAGCTACGTTTAACTGTTTAGCTTTTCGCTAGACAGCAGCTTGGCTCTGCCCCTGGCATTGCTGAAGTCCATGGGCGACGGTAACCACTTACCATCTGTACGCTCGTCTGGCTACAAGGGCAATAAAAAAAAGTTTTACGAGCATAATAGTGATAATAAAATTTACCAAATTTCATATATACAAAGTGATGTTTTCCAGAATAAATATAGCAAGTATTAGAATATTTTCAGAAACAACTGACACCTATATACAGGTCTGGTACCTATACACATAATCGGTGAACACAGGTTAAAAATTAAAAGAAATAAATATCCCAGGTAATCCCAGAGGGGTAGGAACATTTCACACCACAAATAATATACTTATTCACTCTACAAGTCCACTATTCCTGGTCTCCAATTTTGAAACGTTAATTGCTACGTCGTTTTACTGATAAATTCGATGCTTTTTTTAAATAATTTGCTGTTGGGTACAATATTTATATATTGTCTACAATGAAAATTATGAAATATTTGGTACGAGAACATTTCCGATACCTTTCAAATAAGGAGCTGTTGGTTTAAAGATGGTCCAAGATTAGTTACTCTGAATATCTTATGTACGTAACATGAAGCCTGTTCAAGCAGAGGTGCGGCTGGCAGTATCCAGGAATGTATTGACATTGTTCAAAATATTGGCAATAGCGTTAAGGCAGTTTCGCTATTGTAGAATAGTATCACATGACGAATTCTTATTCATTTAGCGATAGGCAGCGGCTTGGCTCTGCCCCTGGCATTGCTGAAGTCCATGGGCGACGGTAACCACTCACCATCAGGTGGGCCGTATGCCCGTCTGCCTACAAAGGCAATAAAAAATAAATAATAAAAAAAACATTTTAATAGGTATTTAATTTTCAGAACTACAAGAAGAGCAAGATTTAGAAATAAAAACACATTGATTTAGATAACAATATAATCGTTTATTATGAATAATGTTATGTTATAGAAACAATAATAAAATACTTTGCTTAGTGTTTCCTTTGATTTTAAATATATGAATAAATAAATATACATTTAAAAAAAAAACTTAATTTATATTGACATCTACACGGTATGGTAGAGGTGGAGACGGAGAATTAATTCATAGTGACATTTCGTGTAAATTTATCGTGACAATTTATATTGACATCTACACGGTACGGTAGAGGTAGGGTCGGGGAATGAAAGATTTAACTTTAATTTAGCGCAAGATTATGATATTTATTTTAAATTGACATAACCTTTTACTTATTAATCATAATTATACATTTGTAGGTCAAACAAATAATAAACGTAAATTAAACCCTACTTCAAAGTTACATCGTAACAAAAATCGTAAAATCACGAGCGCATTCTTCCAGCGGCCGGACTTTAGTGATTTTTTATAAATATCGGTTAATTAACGAACTCTGTGACAGTCTGGTGTTGCATGGCACTGAGGCTCAAGAAAGAGGTGGAAGACTCAATTCTTTTAATAGTGTTTGTTATCAACACTGCCATGGTTTAAAATTTTGATCTTATTTTTTGTTACACGAATTAGATATTAGTTATAGATGAGATTTCCTAAAATTTATGCGATTGGTTTTAAAATTTCAATCTCTCATACAAAAAAAAGAACTTTCCAAAGTGAAATACAAAAGAAACGACATTTCCGAAAAAAAAAACCTTTTTTAGCAAAAGTTTTCCATATTACAGCTGATATAACAGAGATTACACGTCTTAGAAGCAAAAAAAATTGACCCAGAAAAATTTTTTGCACTGTAATGTTTCAAACATTTTATAAGTCTGTGGTTTCTTGTGATTTCATGGTCTGTGGTTTGTGTGCAAATAATTCCGCCATCATAACATTTGCTACTTTTGCTAGATTTTGAAGACAAACGTCTGTCCACCCCTGTTTTTTTATGCATTTACGATTAAAATAACTATTTTCTACATTAAAATAAGACAAATGTAAATAAAATAAACATATTCGCGGTGTCCACTTTAATTCTATTCAAAGGCCATTATCATATTTAATTTCGTCATTCAAAATGAATTCTTTGATAATACTGAAGTGAATTCGTAAATTAAACTGTCTCCGTGTTACAATTCAAACTCGCCAGCTGAAGTGCCATTCGTTTCTTGAAATCCTCTACAATACTTTGCATACGTCTGTAACGCAAAAAGTGGTACGGTGAGTGATATAGTTAAAATATAATTAACTAGCGGACCGCTCCGGCTCCGCTCGGGGCTTTAACAAAAACTTCAACGATATTTGACGTTGTGTAATTTTTTGAAATAAAAGAACGCTTATTGCGGCATAACTATAATAGTTAGACATATTCTGTCGCGACACTTTTGTAAATAATAAGGTGTTCTACAAAGTCGTAGTACATTATTTTATTCTATCATCAATAATTTTCGCAGGGCACGCGATGTAAAGAATATTTTAAGTAATTTGTATACACCTTGGGTTATATTATTGGAGCTTTAGTAAGGATCCCTAGTTTTTTTTCAAAAAATATTATAGCCTATGTCACTCGGGAATAGTGTAGCTCCCAAACAGTGAAAGAATGTTTCAAATCGGTCCTTTAGTTTCGGAGCCTATTCAATACAAACAAACAAACAAATCTTTCCTCTTTGTAATACATATTAGTATAGAAGTATAGATAAATAGTTCCTATACAAACTACGCCCGCCATAAAATTCTGTTCACTGCGTAATGTGAATCTGATCAATAGTTTTACTCACATTTTATCTTCTTCAAGTTCAAGCGGCGGCACGGCCGCTAGAGCCTCCTTTAAGTAGTTTCTGCAACCGAGAAGACAATTATTGAAATTAAATATTTTACGCAATAAAACATAATGTTTCTTATGACTGAAATTGTTTGTCAACGATTTATAATATACATTTTTTAGCCTTAAGAATTATCGTTCGGTTCAAATGTGTTTTCAAACCACCTTTTTTAAATAGTCAACTTTGTGGTCCAGCATCCTAACTCTGAAGATTACAGACATCAGGTCGAACAATCATGATTTCAGTTTTTCTATTTGAGGTCTATACGAAAATGTTTAATGTAAAATTTCTTTGAATTTTTTTTTATTGCTTCGGTGGGTGGACGAGCTCACAGCCCACCTGTTGTTAAGTGGTTACTGGAGCCCATAGACATCTACAACGTAAATACGCCACCTGGAGATATAAGTTCTAAGGTCTCAGTATAGTTACAACGGCTGCCCCACCCTTCAAACCGAAACGCATTACTGCTTCACGGCAGAAATAGGCAGGTTGGTGGTACCTACCCGCGCGGACTCACAAGGGGTCCTACCACCAGTAAATGATCTACCACCGGATCAGAAACACAACCCACTGAGAAGGTCCGGCGAGAAACTCAGTGGGCTATGTCTGTGGGTTAATTTACACGTTAAGCCCGTCGTCGCAAGCGACGGGTTCAACGCAAACGATGATCGGTGCTTGAGGTACCTAAAAGCAACGTTACCGGATCGAGAGGATCCGAAATTACGTGTTTAGGGCGACATCGACTGTTTACCATTCGATCCACCGGATCGGGTATTGTTCCTCTGGCCGCATCGCTAATAAAGAAACAAATGAAAGTAGTTAACTGACTCTGCCTTCCTGGTGAGGTGGTCCCTGATGGCGACGGAGAGCAGCGTGTACTCGAGCGTGGCGCGGAAGGCGGCGGGGCGGGGCAGCGCGGGGGGAGCGCACGCCGCCAGCCGCGCCACCTCCTCGCACACAGTCTCGCAGATGTCGCGCACGTAGCGCCCCGCCGACGCGCCACACACGCTGTCAGTCTGACGATCGTTATTATACATAAGACGGGTGGACCAGCCTTTTTTATGATTGTGTGAATACTGGTGGCCCGGAGGCCTTTCCAGTTCCATAAGGACAGGTGGGCGAGCAAGAGCTCAGCAAGGAAGGGTGGGATTTGCTAACATCTACCCGAGCGCCTCCAAGGGAGATTTAACAACTCAAAAGTAGCTGCTTCGCGAATGAATCTGCTACCGGATCGGAATCGTGACCCACTGAGAAGATCCGGCGAGAAGCTCAGCGGGCTGATGTTTAGGTTAGGTTGCACGTCGAAATCTTTGCCGAGTTCCACAAATACGGTTGCCAGGGTCCCTAAACGTGCACAGAATCCTTAAGCTAAAGACGTCTAATGCAAGGGTTATTGGATCTGATTGGGACTGGCTCCTGCGTAATCAGGATTCGGGGAGCAGTTAGCGGCGGCGGTCTGAGGCTGACTTCATGCGTTTCCGGGTTGATTCGAGGTCAAGGTCGTCGTGTAGCTCGACATTCCTCACGAACCACGGTGGGGGGACCGCTCAGAGTGCACTCCCCGATAATCGCTTAACGAGGCGATAGTATACTATTTGCGAACCAGCTGTCCTACCCATCCTTCAAAATCGCTTACATGACGATAATGAAAGATATATATCCTCCACCTAAGCCATTATTTATGACTCAAACAGCACGGACAAAATAATCTAATATAATATATAAAATTCTCGTGTCACAATGTTCGTTCCCATACTCCTCTGAAACCGCTTGACCGATTCTCATGAAATTTTTTATGCATATTCAATAAGCCTGAGAATCGGCTACTATCTATTTTTCATACCCCTAAGTGATTAGGGTTGTCCACCCCTAACATATTTTTTTTATTTGGACATTTTTTCTTGTTATAATGAGGTATTATGTGGTTGAATGAGGTTTTGTTATTTTTATTATATATTCCCTCATCGTTCACAGCACTACATACCTCTTTCACTCATTTACCACATCCTTACACACTTACAATAAGTTAGTTTTTTTTTTACACTAGAAATTCCCTAGAAATCTTATATATGGCAAAACAATGTTTGCCGGGTCAGCTAGTCTATCTAATATATAAAATTCTCGTGTCACAGTTTTCGTTGCCATACTCCTCCGAAACGGCTTGACCGATTTTGATGAAATTTTTTGTGCTTATCCAATATCTATGAGAATCGGCCAACATCTACTTTTCATCCCCCTAAATGTTAGGGGTAGTCCACCCCTAAATTTTTTATTTTATTTTTTAGACAAAATTTTTAATTTCTATTTTTATATGATACAACATACAAAAATACATACAACCCAAAATTTTCATCCCTCTACGATCAACCCTTATTTTTTATTTGCTAATTAAAAACTTTAATTTTTTTTGCGAGAATTTTGTTTTTGTTTTATCATGAATTAAAATAAAAAATCTGATGTTACTCTCAATTTTTCATCCCTCTATGATCAACCCCTATTTTTTATTTGTTAATTATAAACTTTAATTTTTTCGGCAAGTTTTTTATTTTGTTTTGTCATGACTTAAAATAAAAAAAATCATATTACTCTCAATTTTCACTCTTATACGATCAACCCCTATTTTTCCATCCCGATTAATATTTTTTTTATTCTATGCACAGATCCGCAATAAGGTTGCAAGATGGCAATCAAATATTATAATTGTAGTACGATAAATTCTTATTCAGAGTTTATAATAACAAGTTCCTTTAATTATGATTTTTTTTAAATTGAATTTGATCTCCCGCCCTCGGCGGTCGACTACTGATCAACTATCAATCGATCAGCTATCCCCGCCAGGTGTCACCACTCATCCAGCAAACAT